CTCTCAGTCATGCCCAGCTCTTTGCGACCCCATGGACTGTAGCCTGCCAGGCTCCTCTGTCCGTGGAATTCTCCAGGTAAGAAAACTGGAGAGGGTTGCCATTTCCTTCTCCAGGGGATCTTCACGACCCAGGGATGGAACCCAGGTCTCCCACGTTGCAGGCGGATTCTTTACTGTCTCGTTAGGAGCATATTCTGTTGCTAGACATGCTTCAGAGAGGGAATTAATCAAGCTGTGGGAAGTTGTGTGTTGAAAGAGAATTCAGGTAGATGAGCTTAGTCTCTGAGGTGGTAGTGAAGCTGTCCCCTTTTCCCAAATGGTTCCTTTTAAACATCCAGATGAGGGAGAAAGCTCCCTGGCTCTGAAGCTGGAATTCTCCATTTGGGAGATGAAGGTAAAAGCTTCTACATAGCTCAGAGGACAGCACTGCAATCGCATGTGAGTAATACGTGAAGAGATGGACAAAAGCCAAATTTAATTACTGAGATGATTTTGATGATAATCCCATTTTTCTCATCCAGCTCACAATCTAGGAAGGCCCTAATCGAAACAGGGTATTTTTCCTTTCCCTGAGGGATCTAAACATTTCCCTGTCTCATTATAGCTGTGTTGAAAATCTGATGTACAGCTGTTCATTGAACTGTTTCCAATACAATATACTAAGATAGTGTGATACTAAGACAGGAGATCCCATCAGAGATTCTGACTGTGATATTGTGGATATACAGTATCAATTGATTAACTGGAATTGCTTTTTAGGGTAAAGAACCCAGATACTCGCATTTCAGTTTGCTTATTCAAATTCTGTCCCTTTTCACATCAACAAATCTATTTCCTGTTCCCAGCAATATTTTGCTTTGATGTGTATGTGAAACATACAGTGGGAGAACTGGGATATGTCAGAGTGGGTATCATTTAGCTATTGAAATAAACAGTTAGGAATGTTGTGGAGGAACACTGGCAGGGAATTGGTACTAGTGAGAGGCTGTTTACACTGGACCGTCAGGATGATGGCTCGGGCAACATGATCCATTTATTGGGTCCTTGGCTTGTTTGATGATACACTATACATTATTTGCTGAATAAGTTTGCTGTCAGAAGAGTGATGTGTCTCTTGATTCTAGGTGAGTCCTATCCCCAAATATATTTTATTTATTACTGGGCTTCCCTGGTGGCTCAGAAGGTAAAGAATCTGCCTGCAATGCAGGAAACCCAGGTTCTATTCCTGGGACAGAAAGATCCCCTGGAGAAGGATATGGCAACCTACTCTGGTATTCTTACCCAGAGAAGACCATGGACAAAGGAGCCTGGCTGGTTACAGTCCATGGCATCTCAAAGAGTCGAACATGACTGAGTGACTCATACACACATTGTTTATTAGCCAAGTGATTATTAATTAAAACATTTTAAATGTCCATTATATGATCAGCAAAACACTAGGTGCAATGGGTGATAATACGGAACAGCCCTGATCACTGAGTCTCAGAGCAGGAGGTTACTTCTTCCACAGCATCCAGGCTTCTGCTGGGACAATTCTGTGTTAGGGAGCTCTCCTTCATAGAGGCTGCTGTGATTTTAAATCGTTCTGATAGTTCAGGTGTAGTATCTACACCTCAGGAAACATACTCTCAGGGAGATATTACATAATGTGCTGTGCTATGCTTAGACGCTCATTTGTGTCCAACTCTTTGAGACCCCGTGGACTGTAGCCCACCAGGCTCCTCTGTCCGTGGGGATTCTCTAGACAAGAATGTTGGACTGGGTTACCATGCCCTTCTCCAGGGGATCTCCCAACCCAGAGATTGAACCGAGGTCTCCCGCATTGCAGGTGGTTTCTTTATCAGCTGAGCTATTAGGGAAGCATGTATTAGGTAATAAAAACATATTAATAATAGCCAGTGGTGCAAGATAGCATTTAATTGATGATGTAGATTGTCAGTGCTGTGGGAATTAGGCCAGCAATAACTGAAGAAAGACCTCCATTTATTCAAGGAAGAGAGAGGGAACTCTTATTTGTTGAATTTAGCCGTGTGTTGGGCTAGGTTCATCATTGTATAATCCTAAGAAGGTAATGGGTGTGATTCCCACTTTACAGATGTCATAACCGAGGTCCAACTTAAAGTTGGTGAAATTGAGATTTAGACCTAGGCCTGTGTAGGATCAAAGGCATGTACTTTTCTCCCCTCTCAAGACTGCCATCTCTATAAAGTAGGTCCTGTGCTAGACTTTGGAGGTTTCTTAAAATAACTTTTTTTCTAAATATAAAAATATACATAATGTAGAAAATTTGGGAAATATAAAAATCATCTATAATGCCTTCACTTAGGTAGAACTATGATTAATAATTTGGTGTATATACATATATACATCTATCACATACATTATGCATATATATGACTGTTATTTAACTATATATTTTTAATGTAAAATCACTATTATTATTTATTGTTTTGTTTGTATTTTTCTTTCTTGTTTTTTAGTCTTAAAAAAATTTTTTTTTAATTTGTTGGTCATACTGTGTGGCATGCAAGATCTTGGTTCCCTGACCAGGGATCAAACCCATGCCCCCTGCATTGGGAGCTCAGTCTTAACCACTAAACCACCAGGGGAGCCCCCTTTTTTTTCTTTTTATAAAATATGATGGTTATTCTCCTGTCACTAACATTTTCTAAAGTGTACCTTTTTTCCCATAAGTAGGATTTTTTTTATTGGTAATAAAATCAGCAAACTTTGTATGGTAAAAATATCTTGAGTATTTTTACTGTGGAGGAAGGCTTAGAAAAGGCAACCAGTTTATTTGACAGCACATTTTTAATTTTACTTTACTTCATCTCATTAATGTACTTTTTCCTCATCAATTACTACTTCTTTTTTTTTTTTTTAACTAAAGCATACCTTTTTAAGTGCTATAAAGAATTCTGCCTTGTGTATGTGTTGTAATTTGTGACCAATCAATTCCCCATTAGTTTGAGCTCTTTATAATATTTTACTGTAAAATATTTATAATATTTTGATAAGCATTTTTTAAAAACTTCAGCCTTATTGAAGTATAATTGACAAAACTGTGACATATTTACAGTGTACATCATGATGATTTGATATTCAGGCAAATGTTGTGCTTTACAGATACTATATATATATATATATATATATATATATATATGTTTTTTTTTTTTTACAAGCTGAAGGTTTGTGGCAGCCATGCATTGAGCAAGACTGCTGGTATCATTTTTCCAATAACATTTGCTTACCTCGTGTCTCTGTTCCATGTTTTGTTGATTCTTATATTTCAAACCCTTCACAAGCAAAAAGATTACAACTTTCCGAAAGATCATAGCATATTTTAGCAATAAAGTATTTAATTAAGGTGTATACATTGTTTTTTAAGACATATGCTATTGCACGTGTAATATAGTATAGTGTAAACCTAACTTTTATATGTACTGGGAACCAAAAATCCGTGTGACTCACTTTATTGTGATAGATATCTCCTCTGTTGCTGTGGCCTGGAACCAAACCTGCAGTATGTGTGTTTATGTGCCTGTATGTGTATATTGAGAAAGGATTCCCATCATCTAGTTAAATAACATCCATCATCTCACATTTGTGTGTGTGTGTGTGTGTGTGAGCATTTAAGTTCTACTCACTTTTCAAATTTCAATTATACAATACAGTATTTTCCACTGTAGACACCTGTGTTTCACATTAGATACTCAGGCCTTATTCAGCTTACAGCTAAAGGTTTGTACCCTTTTTCTATCCTCTTCCTAGTTCTCCCACCCCACAGGCAACTACTGTGCTATACTTTCTGTTTCTATGGCTTTGATATTTTTTTTTAGATTCCACATTTAAAGTGACATCATGCAATATTTGTCTTTGGCTTATTTTGCTTAACATAATGCCTTCAAGTTTCTCCATGTTGTCACAAATGGCAGGGTTTCCTTTTTCATTGCTGAATAATATTTTATTGTATATAACACATCTTTATTCATCTGTCTGTTGAGGAACACTTAGGTTGTTCCTATATCTCAGTTATTGTGAATAATGCTGCAGTGAACATGGGAGTGCTGATAGCTCTTCAATATCCTGTTTTCATTTCCTTATAGAACCACTATACTGTTTTCCAGAATGATTGTACCAATTTATATTCCCACCATGAGCGCACAAGGATTCCCTTTGCAGCACATTTTCACAAACACTTGTTACCTTGTTTAAACACTTGTTTACTTGTTTCTGATGACAGCCATTTTAATAGGTGTGAGGTGATAACTCATTATGGTGTTATTTTGCATTTCCCTAGTGATTAGTGATGTTGAATACCTTTTTATGCACCTTTTGTATGTTTTCTTTAGAGAAATGTCCAGTTGAATCTTCTGTCCAGTTTTAAATTGGGTTGTTTGTTTCTTTGCTATTGAATTCAGTGAGTTCATATTTTAGAGATTAATCTTTTATCAGGTATAGGATTTATAAATATTTTCTTCCATCCTATAGGTTGCCTTTTCATTTTGTTGATGGTTTCCTTTGCTATGCAGAAGTCTTTTAGTTTGATATAGTCCCAGTTGTTTGTTTTGCTTTTGTTATCTTTTTTTTGGTCTTGATAAACATTTGTGTATAAATTTTTTTGCACATTTCTCTGATAACTTGCTATCAAATATATGTATATTTTAAGATTTGTTTAAAAACTGCCCTCCAGAGGCAGTTTATGCCCTTTACACTCCCACTAGTGGCAATATCATGAGAATACACAATTTTAGATATTCTCTCCAACAATGACCATTAAAAAATAAAAACTTTCCTAATTTGACAGGTGAAAAAAATGATCTCTCATAGCTTTAAATTGCATTTCTTTGACTACCGGACAGAATGAGTATATGTTGGGAGTTTTCATCTGAACTGATGTCAGCCTTGGATTGCCTTCTAAGAGCCATCATGTATGAAGAGAAGGTTAAAAGGCTTCATCTTATTTATCCTAAATTACTTCATGTCCTATCTTTTGACAGATCTCTGACATCTACATTAGTGGAGAATCAGGGGACATGTCAGCTAAGGAGAAACTGCTCCTGTGGACCCAGAAGGTGACAGCTGGTTACACAGGAATCAAATGCACCAACTTTTCCTCCTGCTGGAGTGATGGGAAGATGTTCAATGCACTTATTCACCGATACAGGTAAATACAGTGGAGCCTCAAGGACCTGGAGAGGCTGCTTCTCATCTCTTTCTTATAATTAGCTATAATGCCACATTTCCTCTCAGCTGACAATCCAGGCTCTGATTCATTTTTTTTTTTTATATAAAAAAGGAATATGTACTGAACTCCTGCTATTCTAAGCACTGGGCTCATAGAGCAGTGAAGGAAGCAGCTAAATTCTTCCCCTCATAGAGCTTACTCTTCAATGGGGAAAATAGGCAATAAACACATAAGTGTATGCCGTCATACAGGGGTGAGGGCAGTGGAGGGAAGAGAGTGATGGGGGCTGTGGTGTTTTGGGCAGGGTGGTCAGTGGTGGCCTCCCTGATGAGGATATTAGAGCAGAGTCATGGATGAGGAGTGGGCCATGTAGGCCTCTAGGGTCAGCGTGATTCACTTGGAGGAAATAACAATTGCAAAGGGCCTGAAGTGGGGACTTGCTTGGAGTAGGTGAGGAAAATAGGAATTTTGAATGACAAAAATCAATATTATTATACTCCTAGTGGTCATAGCCACGCATTGGGAAAATTGATACCTTTCCCTTGAAATCTAGCAAAACTACCATCCTGTACGTTTAGAATTAGGGAGCCCTGGGTTCCTGGAGTGTGATTAACAAGGTGACTAGTGCTCCTCTAAACCTCTTGCTTTCTAACTTATCCAGTGTTTTTCAGCTCTGAGTGCTTTTAAGAGGGTTTCTTTGTATGACTTCCCATGTACTTGTAGCTGGGGGCATTTCATATGTCTCGGTGGACTTTTGCAGACCTGATCTGGTAGATATGGAGAGGGTACAGATCCAGAGCAATCGAGAGAATCTGGAACAGGCATTCGAAGTAGCGGAAAGACTAGGGGTTACCCGGTTACTGGATGCAGAAGGTGAGAGCTGGCTGGAGTTGGCGGTGTTTGACATACATTCATTATTTCTTCCCTGGCGGGTTCTGTTGTTCTAACAGATTTCTTGCCCTTTGTCTCTCAGATGTGGATGTGCCATCTCCAGACGAGAAGTCTGTAATCACTTATGTGTCTTCAATTTATGATGCCTTCCCTAAAGTCCCGGAGGGTGGAGAAGGGATCAGTGCTACGGTAAAAGAACACTCTCCTACCTTCTGGCTGTGATGGGTTTGGGTGGAGTGTTTTGATTAGACTATGTTTCTTCAGCCCTCAGTGTGTACAGAGCACATTTGTACCGAGCAGACTGAATCCACGTCATCTTTATACATGGCTGCTGTCCTTGGTCCATGAGAATGAATGTAGATAGCGCTAATTTTGTAGCGTCCAGCATAGGCTATTCTAGATGTCAGGAAATTAAATCCCATCTTGAGAGTCCTTGAGGAGCTTTAAACTGGGGCTCTGAGTGTTAAACTGAGCAGCTGTGTCTATGCCAGTAATTAAAGGAAAGGGCTTTATGTGGTTTGGGGTGGCCTGAGCTACTTTCTCCTGAGCTTTTCTTGCACACTGCTAATCAGGGCGTGTGTGGTGTCTACATTTTGGCAATAGGAAGTGGACGCCAGGTGGCAAGAGTACCAAAGCCGAGTGGACTCCCTCATTCCCTGGATCAAACAGCACACAATTCTGATGTCAGATAAATCCTTTCCCCAGAACCCTGTTGAACTAAAGGTAAAGTTATGGACTTAAATCTTTTTTCATTAATTCACTCTGGGGAGTAAGTCTTAGAGCTTGTTGCTGCTGGCTCCTGGGTGAGGTTTTATGAAAACTAGGATGTTTGCATTCATTCACCAAATATTAATTTTGTAGGCACTTTATAATCAATACATACACTTCAAAGAAACAGAAATTCTGGCCAAGGAGCGAGAAAAAGGAAGAATTGAGGAATTATATAAATTATTAGAGGTAAGGAAGCTTATCCTTTGCTGAGACCTGGGGTTTGCTGAGAGGCCCTTTGTTACTTTGTTCCCTGCATCTTCTTCCAAACCTTTGTTAATAGCAGTATTCTCAGGGTGACAGACTGAGCATCACTTTCAGGCTGCTCTTAGAAATTTACGGTAAAGGGGAAGTATCTGCCATCACTGTTTTTCCAAGGGCCTGTTGGAAAGTGGCACACATTGATTCAGAAATCTGGAGTTTTATGGATGTTTTCCTATTTCTCAGAGGAAGACTAATTCTTTCTCTCAGATAGAAAGAAAGAAAAGAGGCTTCCCTTCACATTTTGTTTCCTAGAGAATTTGAAGCTGTGGAGATGGGCATTTCCACAGTGGGGATAGAGGACAGGAGGATTTATGGAAAATGTGTAAGAAATGGAAGGATTTCAAGCAAGTGGTCCCTATTTTAGAGGTGACTTTTTTGTTCTCACTTGAAGGTGAAGTACTGCTAAAATATTCACTTGTCATCTCTTATTAGACAGTGGGAAAAATTGCTGAATGGCTGGGAAAAGAAGCAAGAAGTGATGGACGAGGCATAAATTAAAACGGGGGCCTGAGGGCATGGCTGTGTTTTTGGACTAAAAGAGTATCTCTGTTTTGTTTTTAGGTATGGATTGAATTTGGCCGAATTAAACTGCCTCAAGGTTATCACCCAAATGATGTGGAAGAAGAGTGGGGAAAACTCATCATTGAGATGCTGGAGCGAGAGAAATCACTTCGGCCAGCTGTAGAGAGGTAGGTCCAGAGCCTGGAGGGGATCTGGCATCACTAACTGGGCTGCTTTGAGCCCTGCCCTTGACTCTGGCTTTCACCTTATTATTTTAGGCTGGAATTGCTGCTACAGATTGCAAACAAAATCCAGAATGGTGCTCTGAGCTGTGAAGAAAAACTGACACTAGCTAAAAATACACTGCAGGCTGTAAGTCTGACTGTTCTATCTCACATGTTCATGTCACATGTTTTCTACTCCTCAGCCTGTGCTGTAATGGTTAAAGTCAACAGTTGAAGGATCCAGCTTCATTTGTCTTGGAATTGCAGTGGACCCCTTGGCTCCCTGGGTCCAAGTGGGTGAGAGCGGAGGGAGCTCTCCCCCTCTTACTCTCCCTTTCTCTCTCAGGATGCTGCTCACCTGGAGTCGGGGCAGCCAGTGCAGTGTGAGTCAGATGTCATCATGTACATTCAGGAGTGTGAAGGTCTCATCAGACAGCTGCAGGTGGATCTTCAAATCCTACGAGATGAGAACTACTACCAGCTAGAAGAGCTGGCTTTTAGGTGAGCAACATGGGGCTCAAGCAGAGGGCCTGATCACTACTGGTTCTCAGATGTGAAGAGCTGGGCACTGAATCTTGCAACCTAGACGTTAGGGATCAGTGTCTCAGTAGGGATGCTACAGGTATTTGAGGCAGGAAGATTCTCATGGTAGAAGCAGGTTTCCTTTATTCTAGGCCCTGCCCACTAAGTACTGAAGGATTCCCTAATCTTTGTGTGTGGCATCTTATAACATCCCCACATACTTCAGAGGGACCTGCAGCACCATGGTACCACGTCTGCTTTAGAGCTGCTGGAGCGATTCAATGTCAGTTTTCATAGAGGAGAACCCAACACACCTGGCGAGGATGAGGATCTTTGTACACAGCTGAGACTAAGAGCTACACCTTTTGACCCCTTAGTTCATGCTTTATTCTGTTCTATCATCCAGTAGTTGTAGACACTGGTTTTGATTTGCTTCCCTCCAGTTAACACTATAACTTGCCGCTTGCCTCAAAGATGAGTCTGAACCATGAAGATGTACATAACACCACCTTGCGTTCACGGAACACTTTTTCTTTTTAAAACAGTTTCCCTAAGATGATCTCATCTTTATTTTTACCTCATCCTTGTCAAATAGATAGGGAAATTTTGCCTTAAAAAGCACATTATAAATTTAATGTTTTCTTTCTCTTCTTGCATGTCAGGGTCATGCGTCTGCAGGACGAGCTGGTCACGCTGCGTCTGGAGTGCACGAACTTGTACCGGAAGGGCCACTTCACGGCCCTTGAGTTGGTTCCACCCTCCACTTTAACCACTACTCATCTGAAGGCAGAACCCTTGACCAAAGGAACCCATTCTTCTTCTACCTCCTGGTTCCGAAAGCCCATGACTCGGGCTGAACTTGTGTCTATCTCCTCCTCTGAAGATGAAGGAAACCTTCGATTTGTGTATGAACTACTGTCTTGGGTGGAAGAAATGCAGGTGGGTGTACATTCCAAATACTTATGCAGCACACTGAGGTTCCTTGAACCCAGCACTTGTCTAAGAGGGTCAGGTTGCTCTGTGCCCCTTGTATAGGTTCCCTTAATTATCGCTGCTGCCTAGTTCCCAGGCCCCTTTCTCTATTAAATTTTGAAAGAATAAGATCAGTTACAGTCATCAAAATCCCATCTTAAATGCATGAAAGTGAAAGTGAAATCACTCAGTTGTGTCCAACTCTTTGCAACCCCACTGACTGTAGCTTACCAGGCTCCTCTGTCCCTGGAATTTTCCAGGCAAGAAGACTGGAGTGGGTTGCCATTTCCTTCTCCAGGGTGTCTTCCCGACGCAAGGATTGAACCCAGGTCTCCTGCATCATAGGCAGACGCTTTACTGCCTGAGCCACCAGGGGAGGCTTAAATGCATTGGCTTTTCTAATTTGAAGCCCTTCATGGAGCTCTTCCCTTCAGCTGACTGTGCTGTCCGTGGGAGCTGGTGGGAGAGGTTGCCAAGTCTGTAAACCTCAGTTATCTTTTCTGAAGTTCCCTCATTGCAGAGGAGCTGCTGCTTCACTGTTGTTTTTGTGTTGGCTCTGAAGTGTAAGCAAGACTGCTCTGTCACAGTTCTAAGGGGCAGTATTCACATGTATTCTAGGATAACGTTTCAAGTTCGACATCGTCCTCTTACCCTCTAACCCTTTTGTTTTCTATGAAATTCTTCCCATCTTCTGATGACAGATTCCCCCTGTACCAAGAAATAAACTCAAAGACAAGCTCTTTTACAATTACCTTCCATTAGCCAATAGTTGATGACATGAATGGAGCTTAATATTTATGGATATTCATTTCTTATCTCCATTCTGATTGTGAAACTCCTTAAAGGGAAATGTCTAAACTATAAAGTTAAGCCTTCCAGCCTGTGGGGACACCTTTCTTGTTGGTAAATTCAGGGATGTATTCCCATCATGCAGCAACAAAAGGCTGCTGTTGCTGCTTTTAGGGATGGGGTTTATCCTCCAGCTCCTTGAGGGTACGTCATAACGTACTTTCCTGTAAGAGGCCAAGATGAAGATGGTTTAGGTGTCCTTTTTGCCAGTCTCCTCTCCACAGCCATGTTGTCCAAACTGATGCTGACAGTTTTCATTTTCTGCCAACTTAGCAATAAATTATATTCATAATTTTTTTTCCCCAGATGAAATTGGAGCGAGCAGAGTGGGGCAATGACCTGCCTAGTGTAGAGCTGCAGCTGGAAACACAGCAGCACATCCATGCCAGTGTGGAAGAACTGGGCTCAAGTGTCAAGGAGGCCAGGCTCTATGAGGTGCGAGGCACTCAGAATCCGTTACGGGCAGCTGGGGTGGCTGTGTGATGGAGCAGTATACAGTGCAGCTACCCCTGTCATGAAACCTGACCACAGGTCCCTTTTGCACATGAAGTATCTCTTGCTTTTTTGAAATAATGTTGCAGGAAAGGTGTTTTTATAAACCCCTTTTACTAAAAAGAACAGTGATACTGAAAGCTAAGGTCAAAATTAGTAAGTAGCGAATGCAGTTTCCAAACTCAGGCCCTTGGATCCAAAAGTTTATGCTCTTTCCACTGCCCATCTACCTGCAGTAGAAAGCTGGTAAGCAAAACTGTTTCCTCGGTCTCTCCTCTCCCTCTCTCTTTGGTGTTCTCCCATTTTAAATTTCAAGTCTCCTCTTCCAAAAGCATCTAAGTAGGTTGAGGAATCCGCAGGCACAGTTTTGCTTAGAAACCTCCCAGAATTACTGGAGAAGACCATGAGCTCTGTCAGGTGTGCTCACTCTGCTAGGCTGTCCACACTCATTGCTGCTCTGAGCTGTCAGATCTCACCCAGAGATGCACTGTCCAAACTTCTGTTTTCTCAGAGTAACTAATCTCTGTCTGTGTGCAGACATAATATTTATATAGTTGAAATCATACCATAGTATAGTTTACTTTTTCTCTAATATATTTTTATCTCATTCTTTTCTTATCAGGGAAAAATGTCCCAAAATTTCCATACCAGTTATGTTGAAACTCTTGGAAAGCTGGAGACACAGTATTGTAAATTGAAGGTGAGTTTTGACTAACTCTGTTTTGTTCTGTTCATGGAGTGTGTGGTTCCCTAATTCAGAAGGCTCTTGGTTTGGGCCCATTTTGGTTTTCTATTTATTAGGTTATCTTGTTTCCTGTGCAGTTGTTCATATGTATCATAACATTTTTCTCAGTTTTCTTCCTGGGTTAGAAACCACTGCCCCAGAAAGTTTTTAGTAGAGCTGATCCTAGTTGTCACGCTTCACCAAAGCAGTGGCCATGGGTGCTCTTGAGCCATCAAAACTCAAAGTTAGAGATTGACAGGGCAGGGACCCCTCTTCTGTTTGCTCCTCATTCTTGTCTTCCGAGATTGTGCAGAGCAGGACTGGCCCAGGGCCGTCCTTCATCCACAAAGCCCCACCCAGGACTGGCATGTTCTCACTTCAAGCTGGGACTGACACGGGAGTCCCATACCAAACTTGTACTAAATTTAAAACTGCAGAGAAACCCCCAGAGATTTAAAAGGCAGCGCTAAATTCATTTCCTCAGCTATTCTTTGCTCTGATGTCAAATGTGCTATAGATGAAAGGCTGACAGTCTAACGTTGCAATCCTTCCTTTGTCTAGGAAACTTCTAGCTTCCGGATGAGGCACCTTCAGAGCCTACATAAATTTGTCTCGAGAGCTACAGCTGAGTTGATCTGGTTGAATGAGAAGGAGGAGGAGGAACTAGCATATGACTGGAGTGACAACAATCCCAATATCTCAGCCAAGAAAAATTACTTCTCTGTGAGTCTGGCACAACAGACCTGTCATATTTGGTAACAGCAGTGGAAGGAGCCAGAGGGGCTGGTCTGAGAGCCTGGGTTTCAGGATTTGCATTTTGCTAGATAGAATAGGGACCCTGCTTAATACATCTGTTCCTGTGAGAAAGTGTATATGGAGAGAGGGGAAATCAAGCTCTAGAATGAATTTATTTGGAATGTAGTTAGAAAGGCAGTGTCTTAGGTGACGAGAGCAGCAGTCTACAAATTGAATCATTTTAGAGCAATTTAACTTTGTGGTCAAGGCTATAGACTTTGGAATGAGATAGACCTTAAGTGAAATTCTTATTCCTCTGCTTGTTAGCTCTGTGACCTTGGCAAGTCATTTACTCTCCCTGGGCCTCTGTAAAATGGGGTGATAGTGACACTTCAAAGGGTTGCGTAAAAGGCTAAGTAACATTTAGCGAGCGAATATAGTGCAAGGCTTACTGTTGTTTACCTGAGGTGTATTCTTGGCTACTTATAAATTCTGAATTCTCTGAAGTATGCTTCTTCTGAAGTAAGGGAGAAACGATACTGTAACACAGTAAATAATCGGTAAGAACGAAACTTAGGCTATGATAGAGACGTAAGGAAAGTGCTCAGAGAGCATCAGGGAGGAAAGGTCAAGTCTGGTAGCAAGGATCAGTACCTCCCGGCACGGAAGAGCTGGCCTCTGAACTGGGGCCTAAAGTGTTAACAGAACCTAGAGCCAGCCAGTCAGCTGTGTGGATCAGGTGCCGTGTTGGTGGGTGCTGACGTGAACCCTCCACTCCAGCCACGTTCCCTCCTTTCTTGCCTTCAGCCTCAGCCCTGCTTACTCACATCTGGCTCAGGTCCCGTATCTGCTGTGAGCCATTCTCCAGTGATTCTAGCATTTTTGCTCTTCTCTGAAATCCTCTGACACATACCGTTCATGCATCTCATTTTGGCACTAACCCTGGGCTGCGGGCTTCTGTAAAGTAGGGTAGGGAACACAGCCTTTTCTTTATTTCTACTCCTTCCTTAATAGCACCTACTGAATAAAGCTGAATTCAATTTTCAGGAGCTGACAATGGAACTAGAGGAGAAACAGGACGTGTTTCGGTCTCTACAAGATACAGCCGAGCTACTGTCCCTTGAGAACCACCCCGCCAAGCAGACTGTGGAGGTACGTGTGAGGGTGAAGTGCACAGAGGTTGTAATTATGCAAGTGCTCACATCAAAGACTTAGCTCTGCTGAGGGGCCTGGAGGAAGCATCAAGGATCATGCATCTTAGGTCTTCTCCCTTTAACCCCAGTCCCCTAAAGATGGCAGAGAATTGTGATAATAGTCTAATGAGGACACTGAGAAACACCAGAAGTGGGAGGGGGGACCGGGATGGGGAATACATGTAAATCCATGGCTAATTCATTTCAATGTATGACAAAAACCACTACAATGATGTAAAGTAATTAGCCTCCAACTAATAAAAATAAATGAAAAAAAAAAGAAACACCAGAAGTGATATCAACTCCTGACTTCATGGGGAAAGTGACCTGAACCATATTTTTTCACAGAACTGTCTAGACATATCCTGCTTCTTGCTGTGGTGCCTGTGGCCAGGGAAGAGGCAGCAGAAACAGCAGAGGGATTGACTTAGACCTGGTGTTTGCTGCCCCCATCATTTAGTTGCAACTGAGCGTAGACGAGGCCTTTTCTATGTAACCTCTGCTAGCAAAACCACGTTGGATAAAAGACAGGCCTCTTTTTTGTGGGGAGCTTTGAGCTGATGCCAGCCAAGTGTCTCATGTATCCTCTGTTGGCCTCTGGCACTAGCGGAAGTGTAGATGGAAGAGTGCCTCGCACATATGTGGCAGGTCTGTTAAACTCGTGCCCTTCTGTCCGTGTGCCTGGTCGTTGCAGGCTTACAGCGCCGCTGTCCAGTCCCAGCTGCAGTGGATGAAGCAGCTGTGCTTGTGTGTTGAGCAGCACGTGAAAGAGAATACTGCTTATTTTCAGGTACCTGGGCTCTGTGTGTGTGTGTGTGTGTGTGTGCGTGCGTGCGTGCGTGCGTGCGTGCGCGCGCATGTGAAAGCATCAGAGGGGATGGATCTGTTTTCATCAGAGGGGATACCTTTTTTCATTCAGGCAAGAGACTGTAAGTGTGATTGCCTGTGCTGGCATGTGCCTGCAAGCTTGCACACAGATTTGGTGAGGTTAAAAACACATTTGTGTCAGTGAACCTTTACTGCACAAACCACGACCCCAAAAGTTAGTTGCTTAGAGCAACAACCATTAGTCAGCTTGAGAGACTCTGGTTTGGTGGTTTGGGCTAGGCTCAGCTGAAGATTTTTTCTCATCTTGCCTGGGTGCAACTGGCTACAGGCAGTTGGCAGGCAGGCTGGGGGCTGGTTGGTCCCGAATTGTGTCACTCCCATGTCAGACAGCAGACTGGGGTGACAAGTCAGTATGCAAGTCTCTAGCATCCAGTAGGCTATCCTACTGGATCCTTCTAAAAATTTTTTCTGCCTGTTTTTTATTTTCCTGGAGGCTCAAGTGGCACATGACGGTTAATAGAATGACTTCAGAGGTAGAAGGTAGCAGGGAAACAAAAAGTAAACTGGAGTGGGAAAGAGTGGCTGTGTTCCACAAGCAGCCAGAGAAAGCGTGTCCCGGTACACAAGTACTTTTTTCTGCTGTGACATGTATTAATGTGCCATTGGCTAAAGCAAGCCCAGCTTGGGGAGGGCTTTGCTGGGGGATAAAAATAGACCACCTCCTGATGGAAGGGGCTGTAAAATATCAGAACCATTTTTTTTTTTCTTCATCAGTCTATCACCACATCAAGAACATACTGCTTGTTTTCAGGTGAGGGTGGGAGGAGGAAATAAGCCATTATCTCTGTTTGGATTTGCTGCTGATTAAATAAGCTTCCCGATCATTTTGTAATCATATCAGTAAATTGAAACACGTGATCACTCAGCCTCTAGGCTTTTCATAAAATAGACCTGACAGTCAAGTGCTGTAACCAGCCAGGACACAAGGAGAAAGAGCAGTGTTTTCTGAAGGGTGAGGCAGACTAACTCTTGCATTGGGTTCAGTGGACTTCGTGGCAGCCAGCCCTGCTGTTTCCCTGGCGTGGCCTTTGTGATCCAGGACTGTCTAATCAACCGGCACAGTTGGGTTGCTCTTTCTCCATCTTGGTGTAATGATGCACTGAGCTCCAGGTACCCTTCCCTCTTATCCCCACAGTTCTTCAGTGATGCTCGAGACCTGGAGTCATTCTTGAAGAACCTCCAAGATTCCATCAAACGGAAGTATTCCTGCGACCACAGCACCAGCTTATCCCGCCTGGAGGACCTGCTGCAGGACTCCATGGTGGGTGTTGCATCAGTGGGATGACTGCTTCTGGGAAGCAGGGTAAACCCTGTCAGCTGCTGCTGTTCATATCCTTGAAAGCGCCAGGGCTGCGGGTCATCGCTGTAAAGTTTGGCTCACATTCGATTGGAGTTTAATCAATGTGGTTCTTTTTTTCTTTTCTTAAAGAAGTTGCTAATAAGAGTCTTTTGGGTATGCTCCTGCAGTGAGGGCCTAGCCAGGTCCCCCTGACCACATGGTGTTCGTCACTGTTTCTTTCCATTGTTCCTATTCTAATTCAGTAGTTGGAGCCAAAGATGGGGTGTAGAGCATGAAAAATAGGGTTGATGGGATCAGCTGACACCAAATTCTTTTTCACTGTCTCGTGCAAAGAGAATTAATACCAGTGAACTAGACCTGAGCCAATTTTTTCCTCCTTTGGAAATTTTCTTTTGGTAACAATGAGATGTTTGAAACATTAATATCTTATTTAGATGTAATACAGTATCTGTCCAGTTTATTTATGTAGCAGTATTAACTTTTTAAAAATAGTTTTGCATGCGGATTTAATCCAAATCAAGTTTATGTTATCCAATGAACTATTCCTTCAGTGGTGTTGGTAGTAAAAGTCAGCAGCAGATTACTTACTAAGCATATATTATATAGTTGACAAGATGGGGCTCAAACTACATCTCAAATTAAGATGGAAATATGTATTTAATAGAGAAATTACTTTTCCTCTGTGAGAAGCCAATGGGAGTCTCACATTTCAGTAACAAGTTATAAGTAAGAGAACCAGAATAACCCAAAACAGTGTCATTTTCTTTTTCTTTTTTTTGCATGGGTGAGACTTGGGAATTTTTGAACATTAATTGATGGAAAAAAAAGTACTTTCAGGTATTGTAAAGCTATGAATGAATTTAGGCTCAGTGGTTTCACCTGAGCAAATAATTTGTGAACTGAATTAATTTGGAACGAAGGGTACAGACCTGACTTTTCCGATGTCTCTAGAATGTCTCTCTCGGAGGCACATCAGGTATGAAGGAGGAATATAATAATCCTTGGCTATTATCTCCTCCCTCCCACAGAGTACCTCCCTGTCGGAGGGTAACTCCTCTGCAGGTGTTGTGCTATCTCCTCTTCTCGAGGGTCGCTGCTCTGCTCCCTCCTCTCCAGGTCAGGGGCATCGAGTTGGCGGCGTCATCGGGGCATGGAGTCACCTGGGTCTGCTCCGCTGCTTGTCCGTCAGGTTCGGGAGCATCTGTCATGGCTTCTGGTTCTTTTCAGACCTTGTACCACGCTGAGCACTTGGTCTCTGGAGCTTGAGATGTTTGGCTGTGGGTTAGACAGAAATTGACATCTTTATTGCAAGGAAACTGAAATGGGTAGACCAGCTCTCAAGAATGGAACAATGTGGCTGTCTCCCTGACATATTCCATTCCTCTCTCTTAACTAATAAGTTAAAGTTGTATTTCTTCCAATCATGCTCCCGGGGACAGGCACAGGTAGTTTGTTTAAGCATTTCTTTTTCTCTACTTGCATATTCTTAATTCTTTAATGGCATTTCTTAACATTATTAACTCTTTACCCTCATCACATCTACTTCCATCCCAAGAAAGCCCTCTTCTGGGGACTTTTTAATACATCAAAATGAGCTCAAAACATCCTAGTTAATAGATAAAGTTTGCCTTTTACTCTCTAATGGAATTGGTAGTAGATTGCTACCAATTTTGTTGACAAGAAGTTCATTAGTTTTTAAGAAAATTGGGTTTGCAGAGACTTGAGAGTTTCAATTTTGCATGAGATCTCTTTCAAATCAATCAAATTTATATAAATACAGCACAGCAAAACCCCAAGAAGTAAACCCTAAATTGTTTATCACAATACCTTCACCAACAACTTTGATTTATAGCTTGTTGGTTGAAAAGCTAAGATCTTTCTCTAGAAAGTTTGGTTCAATCTAAGAAAGTAAAATATTTCTAATAGAGCTTGGGAGATAACATTATTTAAAAAAGAAAGAAAAGAGCATAACTCTAACTTCTCCTAAGCAGAGAGGCAAGAGCTGGCTTCTGTCAGTGAGAAATTGAGTAATAATAATAATAACCACAACCTAGTTATTATCATTGTTTTTAACTTCCATGTTCTCTGAACCTTATTTGGCAAAATCCTTTGTTAGCTGTATTTGGCAGCTAGAAATTCTTTTTTGTTTTATTTATTTATTATTTGCTTTTGCATGTGGCTTTATGGTTCATTGAAAACTGCACAGGGAGAAAGCTGCAAAATTTGAGTATAAATGCACTTGGTTGCAGACAGAAGCATCTTCTCCTGTCTTCTTTATCCCTGTGTTTCTAAGATGGCTCCACCACGGATCCCTACTTAACCGAGAAGTGACGTTCTCAGAGGGAGTGGAGCACTCAGTTTTCTTTGTTGACTCAGTCTCCCCAGGAGCAACATTAATGTCTCTTTGGTTTTCTTCTCATTTTGTAGGATGAAAAGGAGCAGCTTATACAATCCAAGAGTTCCGTTGCCAGTCTTGTTGGGAGATCAAAATCCATTGTTCAGCTAAAGCCACGCAGTCCTGACCACGTGCTAAAGAGCACCATTTCCGTGAAGGCCATCTGTGACTACAGGCAGATCGAGGTGAGGAGGCGGGGAGGGTGCCTCCTGCTCCAAAGGGAGACGAGGGAGAAGGGAGCCTTCAGTTAGGGTTAGGAGAGTAAGGAAGGTCAAATGACAAGAGTTCTGTTAGAACTAAACGTGCTCAGAGCTATCATTAAAAGCCTCAGCCTCAACTCTACAACTGACCTGCTCCATGCCTCAGTAACTGACATTGTTATCTACCCAGGTGCCTAAGAGTGGATAGAAATGGGGGTTTTAGCACCCCAGAGAGATCCATGACTCCTCTCCTCTTTTCCTACAGCTGGTAGGTTTACCAAGTCAGCATTTATAAAGAAACACCCCTCACTGCGCTTCCCAGGTGGCACAGTGGTAAAGAACCTGCCTGCCAATGCAGGAGACATGGGTTCAATCCCTGGGCCAGGAAGATCCCCTGGAGTAGGAAATGGCAACCCACTCCAATAGTCTTGCCTGGAAAATCCCATGGACAGAGGAGCCTGGCGGCTACAGTCCATGGGATCACAAAGAGTTGGACACAACTTGAGCACACACATACATACACACACACACACAAATATTCTTCAAGTATTCTTCTTTCTATCCCTGCTGCATCTACCTAAATCAGACCCACTTGGATTATTGCATCAGCCTCGCATTCAATGTATTCTTTATCCTACCACCAGCATGATCTTAAAAAAAAAAAAAAAAAATCACTCCCCTGCATAAGTCCTACAAGAATTCTCCATTTGTTCTTATTTATTTTATTTTTTAAGATTTTTATTTCCACATGGACCACTTTTAAAGTCTTTATTGAATTTGTTGCAGTATTTTTTTCTGTTTCATGTTTTGGTTTTTTGGCCACGAGGCATGTGGCCTCTTAGCTCCAATCCTGACCAGGGATTGAACCTGCACTCTCTGCATTGGAAGACAAAGTCTTAACCACTGGAACACCAGGGAAGTTTCCCCATTTCTTTTCAGAAAGTCTGAATTCCTTAATGTGGCTTCAGAGTCTTGGAATAATCTCTTACCCCTCTAATGAAGACTGGGTCTTTTGCCTTCCATGTATTCCCTGGTGAACTGAGTTTGTCACACAGTTTTGTAACCAAGTAGCACATCAGAATATGTGGGATATGTATCTCTGGTGGCCTAGCAAACTTCCAAGCACGTAGTAGGCTCAATAAATATGTGTTATACCAAAGAACGAATGACTTCTTCCTGTGCTTTTCTTTGTCTCAATATTTCTGTCTGTAAATTAGACAGAAACCAGTAATACTGGTTACCTGTCTCCCAAGAGAAAGAGCTGATGATTTCAAATGCTTAAACATTTCAGGGATTTGAGTTGGGTGACAGGAAGGGAGGATGTGGAAATATCACAAAAGCAAAGTTGTATTATGTCCCTTTAATTTTTACCGTGTTCATTGTGGATACAGAGAGATTGCTCTTGGAGCTCTTACAGTCTCCATATAACTCATATCTGAGTTACTCAACTTGTAACAGGCATTTAATAAACATTTGCTTCATTTATTTCTTTCATGTTGCAACCATCCCTGGGTTGTATATTTATATACATTATCTTTTTGTCAAAATCAGAAAGTTTCCCTAGGTGATAAAGATCTCCAAAATGATTTTTCTTTAAGGATTTCATAGCCTTGGGATCAGGCACCAGGTAATAATAGGTTGTTTGTTTATCCATTAGAAATAACTTCTAAATTTGTCTCTTCAGATCACTATTTGCAAGAATGATGAGTGTGTATTGGAAGATAACTCACAGAGGACCAAGTGGAAAGTGATCAGCCCCACAGGGAACGAGGCAATGGTGCCGTCAGTCTGCTTCCTCATCCCCCCACCCAATAAGGATGCCATGGAGACGGCCAGCAGGTACTGGCTCAGCCGACACGCTGTGCTTTGGGGGCGAACCGACGGAGGGATGAATCTACATTTGCTTTCTAAGCATTGTTGTAATTTTTCAACAATTTCAAATGGAGTTATTTTGTCTCTATTTTGTCTGTCATTGCTTTTCCACTCTGACTTCTCATAATTATCAATATATTCACGTAACATTCATGAGATTACTAAATATGTGCTTGAGGATATCAATTAATTTAGGTCTAAACATTCCTGTGTTGTTAGTATTTGACTTGTTGCCTTTCTCTGCTCAGTTCTGCTGAGACAATCACATTTTTTGCCTTAGAAGATCTCAGGCCTTAGAAAAGCTATAGCCAGGTTTTGTGTTGTTTGTAGGGTGGAGCAATCTTATCAGAAGGTGATGGCCCTTTGGCATCAACTACATGTCAATACCAAAAGCCTTATCTCCTGGAACTATCTGAGGAAGGACCTTGACCTTGTAAAGACCTGGAATCTGGAAAAGGTAATTATGAAAGTTTTAACCCAGGCTTATAGCCTACTGGCAAGTTTTATTTTTTCAGCAGGAAGTTTTTTCTATTACTGTGAGACTCCTACTCACCCAGTTGGTGGGAAATGAAGTCAGGGATACTGTTTCAGGGCTTGGGGTTTGAGGACCTTAGAAACTAAAACCTTTTGGATAAATGTGAGGAATAGGGGAACACTGGTGTATTGGCCATCATTAAGGTATACATCCTAGAGGGCACAGACTGCTTCTGAGATGTTCATAATGTCCTGCTTCTTGATCCGAATGCTGATTTCATGCACAAATTCAATTTGTGAAAAATAAACATGTTTATAAATATGGTTTGTGCATTATTTTGTATTACATTTCCATTCCATTGAACTGTCCACTGTTATTTTTCTCTGCAGCTCCGCTCCTCAGCACCTGGGGAGTACCACCAGGTTATGAAGAATCTGCAGGCCCACTACGAAGACTTTCTGCAGGAGAGTCGTGATTCGGCCCTCTTCTCAGTGGCTGACCGTCTTCGCTTGGAAGAGGAGGTGGAGGCGTGTAAAACCCATTTCCAGCACCTGATGAAGTCCATGGAGAATGGTGTGTGCCTTGGGAAGAGGGAGAGGAAAGGTGGAATGAGAGCCCTGAAGGGTGCTGCTCAACCCTTCATATAAACTAGAAAGTATCATCACCGCCTTTTTACCACTTGCATTGCTAGAAAAACTTGAGATAGCGAATAACTCGTAGAGCTGAATTCTCAAAATCAGATCATGGAAGAAAAGGCTGTATTTTATTCATTATGCTAATAAACCTATCCTGTTTTCTTGTGGAAATTATGTATTTGGACCTTCAGTTCAGTCACTCAGTCATGTCCGACTCTTCACAACCCCATGAACTGCAGTACGCCAGGCCTCACTGTCCATCACCAACTCCCGGAGTCCACCCGAACCCACGTCCATTGAGTTGGTGATGCCATCCAACCATCTCATCCTCTGTCGTCCCCTTCTCCTCCTGCCCTCAATCTTTCCCAGAATCAGGGTCTTTTCCAATAAGTCAGCTCTTCGCATGAGGTGGCCAAAGTATTGGAGTTTCAGCTTCAACATCAGTCCTACCAATGAACACCCAGGACTGATCTCCTTTAGGATGGACTGGTTGGATCTCCTTGCAGTCTAAATGACTCTCAGGAGTCTTCTCCAACACCACAGTTCAAAAGCATCAATTCTTCTGTGCTCAGCTTTCTTCACAGTCCAACTCTCACATCCATACATGACCGCTGGAAAAACCATAATCTTGACTAGATGGACCTTTGTTGGCAAAGTAATGTCTCTGCTTTTTAATATGCTATCTAGGTTGGTCATAACTTTCCTTCCAAGGAGTAAATATCTTTTAATTTCATGGCTGCAGTCACCATCTGCAGTGATTTTGGAGCCCAGAAAAATAAAGTCAGCCACTGTTTCCACTGTTTCCCCATCTATTTGCCATGAAGTGATGGGAACAGATGCCATGATCTTAGTTTTTTGAATGTTGAGTTTTAAGTCAACTTTTTCCACTCTCCTCTTTCACTTTCATCAACAGGCTCTTTAGTTCTTCTTCACTTTCTGCCATAAGGGTGGTGTCATCTGCATATCTGAGGTTATTGATATTTCTCCCAGCAATCATGATTCCAGCTTGTGCTTCCTCCAGCCCAGCGTTTCTCATGATGTACTCTGCATATAAGTTAAATAAGCAGGATGACAACATACAGCCTTGATGTACTCCTTTCCCGATTTGGAACCAGGCTGTTGTTCTATGTCCAGTTCTAACTGTTGCTTCCTGACCTGCATTTGGACCTTAAAGATCAGTATATAATGCAGGGAATTTGGGAACAGGCAGAAGGTTCCCCATAGAAGGCCTTGCTTTCATTCATGGAGTATCGCTTTGCTAGATCCAGTGGTACCCTGTCTCAGGGTAAATCTGTTTTTTCCAGGTTTGCTGATCTCTTTTGTAGTGCTTAATGGCCTTCTTTGCTTGTGCATTCACAGAGGACAAAGAGGAAACTGTGGCCAAGATGTACATTTCAGAGCTGAAGAACATTCGTCTGCGCCTAGAGGAGTGTGAACAGAGGCTAATCCAGCGAATTCAGTCACCTGCCAGCTCTAGGACTGACAAAGATGCTCGGCAAGACAATGCATTAAGGATCGCAGAACAAGAGGTAAGCATATAGAGCAAGGTGGGTGCTCTAAGACTGCTCAGTAGAGCTGCTACTTTCCGCTGTGTCCCTTACACGTATGTTATATTCTGTGACATGGTTACTGTCAGTCATGTGACTCCACAAGTAGTATGGAAAGGCTCAGATTCTGTTATGGGCTCTGATGTACACTTTTCTCTGTGACTTTGAGCAAATTCTTTTTTTTTTTGAAGATGTTTTTGATGTGGACCTTTTCTTTCTAAGTCTTTGTTGAATTTGTTACAGTATTGCTTCTGTTTTGTTTTGGTTTTCTGACCATGAGGCATGTGGGATCTTAGCTCCCCAACAAGGGATCCAGCCCACAGCCCCTTGCAATGGAAGGCAAAGGCATAACCACTGGATTGCCAGGGAAAACCCCTGTGCAAATTACTTTTCATCTTTAGTTTCCTTTCTTAGAAAATGGAGATAGTATGAATCTCCATCCATAGAAGAACTATAGATGGAGATCTGTGACATTGTACAGGAGGCAGTAATCAAAACTATTGCCAAGAAAAAGAAATGCAAAAAAAAGGCAAAATGATTGTCTGAGGAGGCCTTAACAAAGAGCTGAGAAAAGAAGAGAAGCTAAAGGCAAAGGAGAAAATATATACCCATTTGAATGCAGAGTTCCAAAGAACATCAAGGAGAGATAAGAAAGCCTCCTCAGCGATCAATGCAAAGAAATAGAGGAAACCAATAGACTGGGAAGGACTAGAGATCTCGTCAAGAAAATTAAGATACCAAGGGAATATCTCATGCAAGGATGACCACAATAAAGGACAGAAATGGTATGGACCTAACAGAAGCTGAAGATATTAAGAAGAGGTGGCAAGAATACACAGAAGAACTATACAAAAAAGATGTTCATGACCCAGATAATCACGATCATGTGATCACTCACCTAGAGCCATACCTCCTGGAATGCGAGGTCAAATGGGCCTTAGGAAGCATCACTACGAACAAAGCTAGTGGAGGTGATGGAATTCCAGTGGAACTATTTCCCATCCTAAAAGATGATGCTGAGAAAGTGCTGCACTCAATATGCCAACCAATCGGGAAAACTCCGCAGTGGCCACAGGACTGGAAAAGATCAGTTTTCATTCCAATCCCAAAGAAAGACAATGCCAAAAAATGCTCAAACTACCACACAATTGCACTCATCTCTCACACTAGCAAAGTAATGCTCAAAATTCTCCAAGCCAAGCTTCTACAGTACATGAACCATGAACTTCTAGATGTTCAAGCTGGATTTAGATAAGGCAGAGGAACCAGAGATCAAATTGCCAACATCCGTTGGATCATCGAAAAAGTGAGAGAGTTCCAGAAAAACATCTACTTTTGCTTTATTGACTATGCCAAAGCCTTTGACTGTGTGGATCACAGGAAACTGTGGAAAATTCTTAAAGAGATGGGACTACCAGACCACCTGACCTGCCTCCTGAGAAATCTATAGGCAGGTCAAGAAGCAATAGTTAGAACTGGACATAGACCAACAGCCTGGTTCCAAATCGGGAAAGGAGTACATCAAGGCTGTATATTGTCTCCCTGCTTATTTAACTTATATGCAGAGCACATCATGAGAAATGCTGGGCTGGAGGAAGCACAAGCTGAAATCAAGATTGCTGGGAGAAATATCATAACCTCAGATATGCAGATGACACCACCCTTATGGCAGAAAGTGAAGAAGAACTAAAGAGCCTGTTGATGAAAGTGAAAGAGGAGAGTGGAAAAAGTTGACTTAAAACTCAACATTCAAAAAACTAAGATCATGGCATCTGTTCCCATCACTTCATGGCAATTAGGTGGAGAAACAATGGAAACAGTGACTGACTTTATTTTTCTGGGCTCCAAAATCACTGCAGATGGTGACTGCAGCCATGAAATTAAAAGACACATACTCCTTGGAAGGAAAGTTATGACCAATCTAGACAGCATATTAAAATGCAGAGACATTACTTTACCAACAAAGATCTGTCTATTCAAAACTATGGTTTTTCCAGTAGACATGTATGGATGTGAGAGTTGGACTCTAAAGAAAGCTGAGCACAGAAGAATTGATGTTTTTGAACTGTGGTGTTGGAGAAGACTCCTGAGAGTCATTTGGACTGCGAGGAGATCCAACCAGTCCATCCTAAAGGAAATCAGTCCTGAATATTCATTGGAAGGACTGATGCTGAAGCTGAAACTCCCAGTAGTTTGGCCACCTGATTTGAAGAACGGACTTATTGGAAAAGACCCTGATTCTGGGAAAGATTGAAGGCAGAAGGAGAAGAGGTTGACAGAGGATGAGATGGTTGGATGGCATCACCAACGTGATGGACATGATTTGAGCAGGCTCCGGGAGTTGGTGCTGGACAGGGAAGCGTGCTGCAGTTCATGGGTTCGCAATAAATCAGACACGATTGAGCAGCTAAACTGAACTGAACTATTTGAGTCACAGAAGCTTTGAAAATTAAAGGATACAGTACATGCCATGAGCTTCCTGGAAAAGTAAAATGCTATAAAAATGTAAGGTGATATTCTTGATGTAAAAGCAGCAAATATTAATTGCTTTATTAAGTTTTGGGGGGCTTGCAAAGAAAGTAAGCCAAAGGTCCTTGCTTTTGGCTTATAGTGTAAAGAAAAGCAAAAGGTTAAAGTCACAGTTAGCGATTTCAGTATAAGAGATGTCATAAGAGGATACCTAGTGTACCTCCAGATTTCCAAGCAAACATTGCTGTATGAATGTAGAGTGTTGCTGGAACATTCCTACTTGGGGTATGACAAGAGAGTTCTGTGAAGAATATTAGATTTGATCTAGGGCCTTAAAGGAAATGGAAAGGAATGCCTAATGAGGAGGAGTGAGTTTTCTCAGCTGTCTCAGTAATTCCTAAGCCTTAAGAGAAGAATGAGAGCCTAGTTTAATTTTCTTTGGTCATAAAGGATCTGAGGCTGTGTGAGGCATGTCATTGTTCATTGCTGTTCAGTCTCCAGCTCTTTGCAACCCGATGGACTGCAGCATGCCAGGCTTCCCTGTCCTTCACTATCCCCTGGAATTTGCTCAGACTCATGTCCATTGTGTTGATGATGCCGTCCAACCGTCTCATCTGCTGCTGCCGCTTCTCCTTCTCCCTTTAGTCTTTCCCAGTGTCAGGGTCTTTTCCAGTGAGTCAGCTCTTTACATCAGGTCGTCAAAGTATTGGAGCTTCAGTTCAACTTCAGTCCTTCCAATGAATATTCAGGGTTGATTTCCTCTAGGATTGATTGATTTGATCTCCTTGCTATCCAAGGGACTCTCTAGTCTTCTCTAGCACCACAGTTTGAAAGCATCAGTTCTTTGGCTCTCAACCTTCTTTATGGTCCAACTCTCACATCTGTACATGACTACCAGAAAAGCTGTATCTTTTTTTTTTTTCCATTTATTTTTATTAGTTGGAGGCTAATTACTTTTAACATTGCAGTGTTTTTTGTCATACATTGAAATGAATTAGCCATGGATTTACATGTATTCCCCATCCCGGTCCCCCCTCCCACCTCCCTCTCCACCCGATCCCTCTGGGTCTTCCCAGTGCACCAGGCCCGAGCACTTGTCTCATGCATCCAACCTGGGCTGGTGATCTGTTTCACCATGGATAATATACATGTTTCGATGCTGTTCTCTTGAAACATCCCACCCTCGCCTTGTCCCACAGAGTCCACAAGTCTGTTCTATACATCTGAGTCTCTTTCAGAAAAGCTGTATCTTTGACTGTATGGATCTTTGTCAGCAAACTGATGTCTCTGCTTTTTAATATGCTGTCTAGGTTTGTTATAGTTTTCCTTCCAAGGAGCAAGTTCTTTTAATTTCATGACTGCAGTCACCATCCACAGTGATTCTGAAACCCAAGAAAATAAAATCTGCCACTGTTTCCACTTTTTCCCCATCTATTTGCCAGGAAGTAATGGGATCGGATACCATGATCTTTGTTTTTTGAATGTTGAGTTTTAAGCCAGCTTTTCCACTCACCTCTTTCAACCCCATCAAGAGGCTCTTTAGTTCCTCTTCGCTTTCTGCCGTTAGAAAACCACTCTGGTATTCTTGCCTCTAGAGCCGCATAAGCGGTATGAAAAGAGGCGTGTCAGATAAACCTGCAGTTCTCATAGTGAGGTTTGTTTCTTTTTTTAACTTTTCTACAGTCATTCAAAATCTATTTGTCCCTGCAAAAGAGAGCATTCAAAGAAATTCAGGTTAATATTGAGCTCTTCTAAAGGACTTTTCTTTTTTTAAAGAAAAATTATTTTGAAATAGTTTCAGATATAGAAAAGTTTTTATTCTCATATAGCCTTCACCTGGATTCCAAAAATGTTACCATTTTTCTACATTTGCTTTATCATTTTCTTCTACATATATACACAAATAATAATGATATTTTTTTGGAGAGTAACTTCCAGACATAGTGCTCCTTTACCCCTATATACTTCAAAAAACAAGGATAGTCTCCTGCATAACCACGGGACAGTGATTAAAATCAGGAAATGAACACTGATCTTGAATATATTACTGTTACTAAGGCCTTAATTGAAATTTCTTTAGTTGACCTGATACATGCCTTTTTTTGGTTTTTTTTTTTTTTTACTTCACCATGTGGCTTGAAGGATCTTAGTTCCCTGACCAGAGATGCAATCCATGCGCCCTGCAGTGGACGTGCAGAGTCCTAACCACCAGACCACCAGGGAATACCTATGATTGCCCTTTTTGGAGCACCTCCCACCTCAGCAATTCCTACTTCCTCTTGCTTTTACCAGCCCCAACCCTAGGATCAGTGTCTCTCCAAGGAGTCTTGCTTTCTTTAGGTTCCTTTATTTAGGAACCTAGATTGGGTGCTGAGTGTGCTCATTTCTACTGTGATATCTACTCTAGGCCTGCTCAGCAGATAGAGCATACATATGACCACAAATATTTGTATATATCTCTCTCCATCCTGCTCCAAACCAATACCTCAGGGCTTATTCTAACCTCTCTTTTCTTCCATATTTGTAACTCCCTTCCCCTAGACTGAAAAACCTCCTTTACATTATCCATAGTGTAAATTTACTTATTGCTTAATTCTAACATGTACAGATAATGGTTTCAGTACTACTAACTCATAGTATTACAAAAAGCAAACCTACTATCTAGAGTTTAATGTAATTCTTTTTGTCTTTATACTGAAGGTATGTCTGTAGTCAATTCTGTGTTCAGAATTTATGTGTTTGTATTCTTTGCCCTGCTCTGCCTTCATTGCTATTGCCTGGTTTATTCCATCATTCTTCTGTATATGACATTTGGTCTGTTTCTGGTATTTTGCTGTTCTGAACTAGGACTTCTTGCTAACTTCTTGGTTTAATTCTGTTTCTGTGTTTGTTGTATGTCTTGTTCCTGATAGCACACCCAAGAGGATCTGCAGCAATTGAGGGCAGACTTGGATGCTGTTTCCATGAAATGCAACAGCTTTCTCCATCAGTCCCCATCTGGTTCCAGTGTCCCAACTCTGCGCTCAGAACTCAATCTGCTGGTGGAAAAAATGGACCATGTGTATGGTCTCTCCACTGTCTATTTAAACAAGTGAGTGAGTGAGAATTTGGGTCAAGAGGGCAATGTTTGCCATTCAGATGGGGGGGAAAAAAGTACCTGGAATGTTTCATGAACAATTCAGGGAGATTGCAGGTCTTGAAGAGCTTGTACTCATAAAAAGAGACCTTGGCTTTAGTTCAAAATAACATGGAGTGGGTTCATGTGGGCTGCAATGAACAAATGCTGGGAATACAGAAGGGGAGAAGGGGAGTTGATTTGCAGTTTTATGACTATTTTGAATCTCATTTCTCTTTGATTAGATACTTCTTTTTAAAACAGAGAAAGGGACACTAAAGAAAGAAAAATGTTTATCTCAGCTGAGCATTAGGCTTTGAGGGTCTTCCCTCTACCCACACATCCCTGCCTATGACCTTGAGAAGATCTTAGAGTCTTCATAGTTTTGAGTGGGTTTCTGTCCTCAAGCCCATTTTCTTGTGAGACCCCCACCATGTGCACGCATGTGTGTGTGTGTCCCAGTGTCCCCCAAACTATATTTTAATTGACTTAAATTGGCAGTACATATGTTATGCTTGTTTTTATGAAACCCTGTCATCACTTAGTAATGACGAAGTTGATTTTGACAGTTACACCGGTGAATCTCTTGGCAGTGCTCCAGGTCCGAAGCCCAGCTCTTAAAATGCATGTAGTAATGGGAGCGCTTTCATCTTTGCAGGCTGAAGACAATCGATGGAATAGTGCGTGGCATCCAGGACGCTGAGCTCTTGGTCAAGGGCTACGAAGTCAAGCTGAGTCAAGAAGCGGCGGTGCCAGCGGACCCCTCAGCTCTGGAGTCCCGTCGGTCCACGCTGCGGGTTGGCTCCCCTAGTTCCTAGCTTGACTTAGCGTGCTCATTGCTGGGGACTAGCAGAGAGATGCAGTTTGGGATGCATGCCACTGATGAAAGTTTGCACTCGAATTAGGCAGAATATTATATCTAATGTCTTTTTATGTGGGTCCACAGAAGAGAGGATTAAGACATATATATATATATAACCACAAAACGGAGATTAAGGACCATGCTTTTCTATTTATTTTTTCCCTTTTATCCCCAGTAAAGTTATAGTTTAATTGAATACAATCAATGGTTATGCTGTAAGTTTGTAAATCACTTAGCTCTTACCTCCTTTGATGCTCACAAGCAACTCTGTGAGGTGGCTAGAGGAGGGAATTTTACCTCTGTGTACACATAGAATACCAAGATTCAGATTGGCCAAGTGGCTTGTCATGGTTTCATAGCTTATAAGTGGTGGAGTCAGGTTTCAAACACTCATTCTTGCACTTTTCTCCACTGGCTGCCTAGTGTGCCTGAGGACTATGGAGGCATTTCTGGCACAAACACTGCAGAGTCTGGGTTCTGAATCACAGATGTAACATGGAGCCAGCTGTAGACAATGAACTTGTTTTGTTCCTTAGTCTGAGTCCTTTTTAGCATGGAATATATTTAACCTGTTGCTCTGCTTGTGCTTTTATAGCACTGGCTTAGTGATGCGAAGGACAAGAATTCCATGTTTTCAGTCCTGGATGAGGAAATTGGCAAGGCCAAGGTTGTGGCAGAGCAGCTGAGCCGTCTGACTCCAGAGCGAAACCTGGATTTGGAGCGCTGTCAGGAAAAAGGTTCCCAGCTACAGGACCGTTGGCACCGGGTCATTGCCCAGCTTGAGACCCGGTGAGTGATAGCCCCACCCTTTTCTTCTCTAGGGTTCAAAAACTAGGTTTTAAATGAAAAAAGAGTTATTTCTGTATATGCTTATTTAAAGGCAGAGATTTGTCAGAATGTTGTCCAGAATGTATACTGTCACTTAATTTCACACTGTCACTTAATTTCTACCCCATCCTGACTGATTCCTGCCTTTAAATAAGCGTACACTCACTGACCAGGGAACGCCTGTGTCCCCTGCAGTGGTAGCATGGAGCCTTAACCACTGGACCAGGAGAGAATTCCCCAGCTTTGATACTTAATATGAGTCATTATTCATAGTGGGGCTTTGCGGAATTTCTTGCTTCCTTTTCATTTGCTAATTTAGTGTTTTTATCTGTTACTTGAGGTTCTACTTTTGATGACTGATTTGAATAGGAAAGACAGAAAACCACCTATCTGAGACCAGGCTAGTTAGGAAAATATATAGGGAGAGGGGTGATAAAGATTCATGTAAGTTTGGATTAATTCTCTATAAATGAATTATTATCCCAAAGCTAGTTAGACTAATAAAAGTGGTATAAGAAGCTGTTACTGGAATTAAGAGTAACTACTCTTTCTCACCCACTCTACCCCTGCTTTTCTCCCCAAGAAACCACAGTGAGTCATGAATCATGGCTGTACACTCTGACAGGTCCTCTGTCGCCAGGAGACCAAAGTGTGCAGGCAGTGCTACCTTACTGGCAACCCCAGTAATCCTTGGCAACATAGGTGAAAAAATTGACAAGGATTATCACGGGATGCCAGGCTTCAAAGCAGTTTGCAGGTCAGCAGGGCACGCCTGGTTTCTACTCACTTCTCCCCACAGAGTACTGGGAGTATGCATGGCTCTCACTCAGCGCTGCATTGCTGTTCCCTCAAAATAAAGATGTGTTCCTCCTGGTCAAGCTCAGCTGGAGGCATGGCTGGGCTAAAGAGGCAATTGCTTTGTTTACTTAGTTGTATTTAGACCAAGATATCTGATGGCAGTTTCCCTTTGCTTCTGCAGCCAATCTGAGCTAGAAAGTATCCAGGAAGTCCTGGGAGATTACCGAGCCTGCCATGGAACTCTCATCAAATGGATTGAGGAAACCACTGCCCAGCAGGAAATGATGAAGCCAGGCCAGGCTGAGGACAGCAGAGTACTCTCCGAGCAGCTCAGCCAGCAGACGGTGGGTGTGGCCATGGCCCAGTGGAAGTCACAGAGGGAAGCAACTGGCAGTTAACTTCCCCCCTGATATCAAGACATTCTGAGCCTCTTCTGAAAAGGGTTCAAGCAGAATGGTCACTAGATATTGGTTTTGCATTAGGGCCTTCCAAGATTGGAAGGCCCCTTCCAATCCTGAGTTCCCGTGAGTATATATTGAAAGCACTAGAGGGTCAATATTGCATCTTGTTTTGCTAGGATTAGAATATAGGAAATGAAAACCCAGGGAAGCTATAAGTTGAAGAAAATTATTTCATTCAAAACTGTTTTTATATGTTGGTATTTTGAGGGATTTTTTTTTTTTTTTTGGCTCTCTTACTTACTATGAGAACTTGAACCAGTTGCTTAATCTCTTAATATTCTGCTTTTCTCAGCAGTAAAATGCATATAGTCCATTATTTGTTCAACTGCCCTCTTAAGGTTTTTGTAGTTAGGATTAAATGAAATGATACGTGTAAATTACTTAGAACAGTGATTTTCAAAGTGTTGACAGCCAAAGTAGCAGCTTCAGCATCACTTGGGGACATGTTAGAAATGAGAGTTCTCAGACTCAAACCCAAATCTATCGAGTCAGACACTCTGGGAGTGGGACCCAGCAATCTATGATTTAGCCAGTGTTCTAGGTGATTCGGACACAGCTAAGGTTTGAAAACCACTGCATTAGAACATAATAAAAACTTACCTGTTTCAGTGATGATAATGACAATTATAAAATGTTGTGATGTTTTGGTTCCTAGGAGCTGTTTGCAGAAATTGAGAGAAATCAGACAAAACTGGACCAGTGTCAAAAATTTTCCCAGCAATACTCCACCACTGTAAAGGTAATGCTGCCAGTCCTAAAAATAACATAAATAGTCTCTAGCTTGAAGATCTGTGTCACTGGAGGTTTTGTTTTTGGACAAGTAAGCAGGTCTCTTCTGTTCCATCTTTAAGTTAATGCATGTGTGTGTTTGTCATGGTACATATTTGGGGATGCTCAGAGAGGTACCAGACAAGAAATGAGTTTCAAGGAGTCTCCATTTGACTCCTGAATGGATGAATGACAGGCCTCTCAAACTTGCCATGTGAAAAACAGAATGTTTGGGTTTTCCTCTCAACACACTTCTCACTGTCTTGCATATCTCAGGAAATAGTGTCATCATTTTCCTTACTGCTAAGGCAAAAAAAGCCCAAAGAGTCATTCTTCACTCTTCTCTTCACCTTAAACTTTATGTTTAATAGCAGTTTGGGCACTAGTTAGGTCCGTCTTGCGTGTTTCCCAGACCTGACTACCCCTCCCCGCCTCTCCCACCCCCTTTCCCCAGGTTCACGTCTCCGTGAAGGACCTTCTGGAGCTGCTCCAGTGCTCTGAGCTGCTCTCTTTCTGCTCCTGCCCGCTCAGGTTCTTTTCCCACACAGTAGCCAGACTCACTCTGTAAGAACATACCACATGTCACGGAACCTCAGACACTGTGGATTATGAGCCACGTTACTTTACGTACTGCCTGAAAGGGGGAAACTCCACCAATTATGCAAATGCAAAGTGAGACATTTTCCAATTTTAGCGATACTAAAATGTGAGGGAAATGTGTACCTTGCCATAGCGGAAACGTGATAGATGAGATCCTGTCACTCTCCTGCTCGGTACTGTCTCATGACTTCTTGTCACACTTATACTGAAATTCTAAATTCTTTTATAGTTTATCAGGCTATGCAAGATCTGGCTCCCTACTCCTTATTTCTTTGATAAGGTCTTTAAAGAAAACTGACCTGAGATTCTTCTATATTGATTTGTTTATCACATGCCTTCCCACTAGAATGGAAGTTCCAGGGGAGAGAAGTTTTTTCTGACTTACTCCCCATTATGTGTGTAGCACTCAGAACAATGACAAGTGCATAGCAGGTGCTCAGCAAATAGTTTTTTAATGAATACATTTCTTTAGTTAATAACAGGAGACTTGGTATCACAAAGAATTGAATTCAGATCCTAGCTTTGCCATTTTCCAGGCTTCAGACTTTGAGCAAACATTTACCCCTTAGAGTTTCTGTTGCTATGTTTCCAAAATTGTGAATAGTAGCTACCTCACTGAGTGATTGCAAAGATTAAATGAGATAATTTATACATAGGACAATGCCTCAAAATTAAAATATGTTCAGTAAATGGTAGCACATGCTTTTATTTTTATTAGTATTTGGTTGTTAATACTACTGTGCTAAGTCACTTCAGTTGTGTCTGACTTTTTGTGACCCCATGGACTGTAGCCCACCAGGCTTCTCTGTCCATGGGATTCTCCAGGCAGGACTATTGGAGCGGGTTGCCATACACTTCTCCAGGGGATCTTCCTGACCTAGGGATTGAACCTGTATCTCCTGTAGCTTCTGCATTGCAGGCAGATTCTTTACTGCTGAGCCACTGGTGAAGCTTTTTTTTTTTTTTTTCCCAATAGACTGCTTAAGCACTCAGTCAGTATTTTTCTCCTGCCTAGAATTTTCAAAATTGACAACAGAAAGCAAGACATTCCAGGTGAAAGGAACTTCATAATTAAAGGCACAGAGGGATAAAATACAAGGATTACATAAGGAAACAGCAAATTCTAGCTATCCTGGTATAGCTAGAAATTGTATCATACATGAGAAACAGTGACTATGAAAACTGAGAGAGGAGATTGGGGTCAACCCATGAAAGGCCTTGTTCAGTTCCTTTGTCTTTACCATCTATTCTTGCTCCTCAAAATGTGGTCTTTGAACCAGGACCATTGGCATCACTTGGGAACTACTCAGAAATGCATAAGCTGCATTTTAACAAGATCCCCAGGTGAATGTTGATATTTGAGGAGATCTGCTCTTAAGTCATTGACAACTTTCAAACAGGGAAATGAAGTGGTTATCTTTTTGACTTTAGAAAAGCTATTCCAGTAGCATGACAGAGGTGAGAGTCTATGGCCCATGGGAAAAGGTATTAAAAATAATAATAATACCTCACAACACAGGAAAATTATATGAACTTCAGCCTGCAGTGTCTCTAAGTTATGTCTTATCATACCCAGCCACATTCTTTCCTTTAGTTACTGTCTGTGGCTGCTTTCACTTGCAGTGGCAGAAGTGAGTAGATGGTATGGCCTTTTCAGAAACTTTGCTAACCTCTATTCTAAAAGATTATCCAAATGCTAAAGGGTCATCACCATGGAAATGCTGCCATGCTACTGCATGGTACGTGTGAGCCCTAAGCCCGCTGTAAATGCGATTCCGTGTCTTCCTCCCCAGGACTATGAGTTACAGCTGATGACCTACAAGGCCTTTGTGGAATCGCAGCAGAAATCCCCGGGCAAGCGCCGTCGCATGCTCTCCTCTTCAGATGCCATCACGCAAGAGGTGAAAGGAGGGGGGTGGGCAAGGGTGTGTATGCTGTCCTCGAGGAATGATTCACTCTTCGGGCCTTATGATTTGATTACTGTTGAGCGTGTGACTTCATGAAAACTTCCTTATTGTCAACTATTTAAATTGACTTTTCTGGCAGATAACTTACCTAAATCATTTTCTTTAATCATAGTTCATGGACTTAAGGACTCGCTACACAGCATTGGTAACCTTAACAACTCAGCATGTAAAATACATCAGTGATGCGCTCCGGCGGCTGGAGGAGGAGGAGGTGAGTCCAGCGAGTCCTGTACCTCATCTGCCAAGATTTAAAATGCACACATAGCTGATGTCCTTTGCTCACAGTACTTGAGTTCCACAAAGTTGCTGTGTGCACTGCACCAGCAAATTAGAGAATTCTTGTACCCACGGGAACACAGGGTTAGGTTCCTGCCAACTTTCGGTTAGTGGATAACATACAACCTGGTTTTATGTGTGTTTTTTTTTAAAAGCACTTTACCTAATGCCTGTGTGCTAAGTCGCTTCAGTCGTGTCTGACTTCACCCCGTGGACTGTAGCCCACCAGGCTCCTCTGTCCATGGGATTCTCCAGGCAAGAATACTGGAGTGGGTTGTCGTGCCCTTCTCCAGGACTTTACTTAATAAATCTTGCTGATTCACTAAACTGAACTCATATCTAAGAGAAGCATAACTCACACCTGAACAAATCTTATTAAAGCACATTTTCTCTCTAAGGCACATGACAACCTTCTAGTGAATAATGAGGACTAGTGAGGACTGACCGTCTTGTGTCCAGCGCCCCCACTTCCAGGTTTTGTTATTATAGAAACATTATAAGCATAAGAAAGAGCTGTGAAGAGAAATCCTTACTAAAGCATAATTTGTTAAAGGGAAATATTGGAGGTACCAAATTCCATACGGTAGAATGCTATGAAACTGTTAAAAATAATGAAGTAGATTTAAATGAACTGACATAGAAAGATACTTATAGTACATTATTTGAAGAAAAAAAACGAATTTGAATTCTATGTATAATTACGATTTCAGGAAAAACAAGAGTGTGTACCACAGAGGTACAAAATGAGCATAAAAACAAGTTTAGAAATATCTGTACCAAATTCCTGGGTAAATTAGGTTAAAGGGACATATATTATGCATTTCAGATTATTTGAATTTGTTGTAATGAGTTTGCAGTCTTTCTGTAATTAAAAAATCTGTGTTTTTGCAAAATAAGCTTCCATGTATTCAACAACTCTTACAAAAGAAATGCTCTTGGAAACATTAACCTGTACCAACTTTTGCCTACATAAATTGGCCAAAGATTTCCTTTATGTCAGTACATACTTCATTTAATCTCTGTAGATGTCCATCTGTTCACTTGAAAATCTAAGAATTATGAAAATAAGATGCTATATATGAAGGGCTTCTTAAAATTAGTAAATAACTATTGACTGCACATCCCATAGGAAAATAGCATGCTTTTCTAAGAAAAGAGCCAACCTAGGTATAATGAACTTAGCTATTAGCATCATAGAGGCACTGGTGAACAATGCTGTGGGTGGGGTAAATTATGTTTTACTTGGGGTTATTAGAGGTACTGATTGAGGTAACTTTAATATCTTTATTTAGGAACTCTGAATCAGACCTGTCTAGTAAGACATTGACCAAGATACTGATTTTCTATTTCCTCTTCTAGAAAGTGGTAGAGGAGGAAAAACAGGAGCATGTGGAGATGGTTAAAGAACTTTTGGGCTGGGTATCTACCCTAGCAAAGAATACACAAAGCAAAGCTACCTCACCCCAGACCAAAGAATCAACAGACTTTGAAAAGGCTATCTTAGAACAACAGGTGAGTGGAAGGTTCCTCTATCACTTCCTGGGTAGCATAATATGAGATTACTCATTAGGTGGGATAATATAAGGCACATATGGGCCACCCAGGAATGATTATTATTTCAGTAAATGTTAGCTTCCAGGACTTAAAGAAACTGAAGAAGTCATCTTATTTGTGTTTCTGCTTTCTAAATCATTCTAGATAGTGGTAATGAAAATCTTACCTAAGCTAGGTTTTTTCCCTAGGATTTTATTTTATTTCAAATGACTTTTGATTCTTCAGTTTCTTGGGCTCTGAAGTTTTCTCTTTTCTTCTACTATATAGGTTCTAACAGAGGAGCTGACAACCAAGAGGGAGCAAGTCTCTGAGGCCATTAAAACTTCACAGATCTTCTTGGCCAAGCACGGTCATAAGTGAGTCATAAATGAGATACTGTGGCACATCTAGAGGACTGGATCTTACTGACTCAAACTCAGGGTCATGATGAGAACTCAGGCTGGAGAATTCAAGGTGGCAGGAGTCAGATTATGAGGAACTTTGTAATTCATGCTGAATTTGCATTTTATGTGTCAGCTATGAGGAGGGCTTTTGAACCTGATCAGGCTGTTCATAAAGATTTCTAAAACAGTTTCATAGAGAATGGGTAGACATGAGGCAAGAGTAGAGGCGTCAGAGACCAGTTAAGAGACTGTTCTGACAATTTAGGACAAGAAATGATGAGGTGGAGAGGAGACAAAGATTCAAAAGATGTTAAGGATGATGAACTTACAGGGCTTTGTGACAAATAAAAATGATGGGATGTAACTCCCCGGTTTCTGGCTTAAAGCACTGGACATTTGGTGATGCCACTCAGCGAGATAGGGAGTACAGGAGAGGGTGTGGCTTGAGGGGCAAGAAGGCCGCGTTAGCTTCAGGTATTTTGAATCTGAAGAGCCCACAGGACATCAGAGCATAAACCTCTAGTATGTGTTCGGAAGCCCCTGATGCGTTGTTTATGCCTCAGGGGGTTCCACTGAAGCTGCCCAGTGGCAGCTATATGTGTAAATTTAGAATTTATGAGAGAAATTCGAAATGATAGAGATTAGCATAGTAAAAACCATGACTGGGTTATCTTACAAGGGTTCAAGGGCTTCTCAGCCTGTGAAGAAGCCTTCGAGGAGTAAGAGGAAATTATGAGTGAGACCTCAGAGCCAGGGGAGAACAGAATTCCAAAAAGAAGGAAGTGGTCAAAAGTCAAGTAAAGGTGTGTGTGTCGTCGCTCAGTCGTGTCCGACTCTTTGTGACCCCATGGACTGTAGCCTACGAGGCTCCTCCGTGCATGGGATTTTCCTGGCAAGAGTACTGGAGTGGGTTGCCATTTCCTTCTCAGGCTATTTATTTTGGCATGTTGGAAGTTTTTGGTGACTCTGGTGAAAAGTTGGGGAATGATGTCAGATTTAGAGGAATGGGGAGCTCGTGAGGCGAGGAAGATGGTGGTAGTGAAATTAGACTACTCTTCCTAGGAGCTTGTTGTGGGAAAGGAGAGAAATAATAGAGCAAATGCTCAGAGTAGAATTTATGATCAACAGAGAGTTGTTTTTTTTTCTTAAAAGATTGAAGGGACTTAACTGTATTTATGGACTACTGAGTTTCAAGGACCAAAAGGGAGAGAAAAATTGAAATCATGGGAGAGGGGTTACAGAGGATGTAGAAGAGGATAAAATTCATCTGTGGGTAGAAAGTACAGACTTAAATAGGAGTTGAGGCAGCTTTTCCTCTGAGGTCTGGGGAAAAGGAGGTTAGGGAAGATATGCTGCTGCTGCTGCTGCATCACTTCAGTCGTGTCCGACTCTGTGCGACCCCACAGACGGCAGCCCACCAGGCTCCCCTGTCCCTGGGATTCTCCAGGCAAGAACATTGGAATGGGTTGCCATTTCCTTCTCCACTTCATGAAAGGGAAAAGCGAAAGTGAAGTCACTTAGTCGTGTCCGACTCCTAGCTACCCCATGGACTGCAGCCTACCAGGCTCCTCCGTCCATGGGATTTTCCAGGCAAGAGTACTGGAGTGGGTTGCCATTGCCTTCTCCAGGGAAGGTATAGATACAGGTAAATATGCCAGAAGTAAAGTCAGAAATTAAGAGAATTAGTGCCCAGTGCTCTGTATTTTCTCTTTGAAATAGGTAAAGAGGTTGTTGCTGAAAGTTAGAGTGGGCGCCAAGAGGATTGTCAGAAGCATTGAAGTCTGGTAGTGGTTGGACCAGGGGGACTTCTACATGATTTTGGAATCCCCCCACTAGATAGACTTGGTCTGCATGTGGGATCAGGGAAGTCGAAGGGCTTGATCCATCTGGAGCTGGAGTCTTGTTAGTGAGGAGAGAGTACAGCGATAACAGTGAGGGATTGATCGAGAAGGTGGACTGTGTATCTGGGCTTAAATGAGAAGAAGCTAAAGATAATAGATGGATTAAGAGAAATGGAGAGGTCAAAGAGGGTTTGGGAAATCTCAGTAAGTCGATAGGTAGTTTCAAGATGAATCGTAAGATTCAGTCTCAGAAACACAATGTATTGATAGAATGAGAAAAGGAACTTGCAGAATTCACCAGATTCAAGAAAAGGATCTGAAGAAAATCTGGTAAAATACTGAAGTTTTGGAAAGTTGGATAGTTAGGTAATGAGTAAATGAATTTGTTGTATTCTTCTCTTTTGTCTCTTCAAGATATTTCATTTTTAAAAGAGAAGAGATATAAGAGTAAAGAAAGAAAGCTAGCCAGGTAGGATTATAATCAGAAGTGATAATCAGATAGTAGATTCTTGAAGTTTAAAATGTCAGAAGTGGAATAATTTTAGAGGATGGCAGCTTCCAAGTTTGGATGAGACTGAAGTGGCCTGGAGGCCATTTGGATTGGGAAGTTCGCTGGACTATAGGTATAGAGTGTTAGATAATTGGTGGCATGAGCATTGACATCAGCAAGAATCATGACTCAGTCTAAGACAGACAGGAAAACTATTAGCTAGATGCCAAAGTGTTCAGTGAGTATGGGAGACTGACCAGATGATCCATCATAAACAGTGACAAAGAAGAATACTACCAAGGTGGAGACGTCATTTTGAAACAATAGAGGAGAATTGAGGGAAAAGGTCTTTCTCTAAAAGAGCTTTAATGCTTTATCTTCTAGGCTCTCAGAAAAAGAGAAAGAACAGATATCTGAGCAATTGAATGCCCTCAGTAAGACTTACCATGACCTTTGTGAAGGTTCAGCAAACCAGCTTCAGCAACTCCAGAGCCAGCTGGCCCAGCAGACAGAACAAAAGGTACTTTGACTTTTTCTCCCCAGGTGTTGGAAAGGTACCTTGGGAACAGTATGACTGCAGCTTTGCTGATTGAGAGTCATGACCACTAGCTTTCCATGGCCAGTGTGACTTAATTTTTAACCTCACCATAGCAGCCATTTGTCTCGTGTTTCTTTACTGGGGTTCCACGATGTGTTGGTCAGTCAGAATCACTAGAAGGTGCACATGGCTAATCCTTTAGACCTGCTTCACCATTGTGTCATCTTGCATTTTGTGGCAGACCACAGTCAGAGAGAACCTGAATTTTGTGTCATATCTGATCAGAAGGCAACATGGTTACTCTGTGGCATTGTCACTCAAAAGACAGCAGGGAGTTCTGAATATTGGGAAGTAAAGGCCGTGGACCTCTTCCCCCCCATACTTTTTTTTCCTATCTACTAAATAAATGAGAAATGTCAATTTCCAAAACAAACTGGTGGATTAGCTGCGCTGACTGAGACGCTGGTTCCCCTTATCCATAGTCACCCCATCATGTGACATCTTTACCAGTTACCACCGTGTTCATTGCCTGGACCACCTGGAAGTTGTTATGTTCCTGCTGGTTGTCCTCAGTTCTTCCTGGATACTTGTGTGTATATGTAAACTTACCATAGTATATACATGTGTCTCTAGGATATATATGTGTGTTTGCCTGCTTGTTTCCTATGTTGTGAAGCAATGGCCAAATTCTGTGAGGCAATTTAAGCTCCTGTGGCAATCAGATTTGGTCTAGATAATGCTCAAAATGATATTTAGACAAAATATGCTTTGACTCTGATCCTGAAATTTGTATAGCAGGAGCTGGAGTTGTAAAGGCCACAATGTAGAACTGGCTGTGATATATTTGAGAGCAGATTTCCAAAATGAACGTGCTGGTCTAGCACTCTGTGAGGTAACCCACTTCTAATGGCTTATTGCTTCACCATATACGAGAGTACATGAAGAGTTTTAACAAAATCGCTTGCTGAGAACATCCAGTTCTCATTTTGAAAGGTTAAAAAAGGGGAGAAAGAAAGAAAGAAAGTCAAGCTGCTGAGCACCACTACATTGAGCATGATGTGTCCCCCCTGTTACCGTTCGTGTGTTTCATGTGAAGTATTGTTCTGATTAACTGACATCCTTGCTTACAAGTTTAACTAACCCTTTGGAGGTTAAGCACAAATGCACAAAGGGAAAAGAGGACGACCTGTTTGGGGTTCTTTTTTGCAAAAAACAAACAGTCGCATGCTGGACGCTAACACCAAGCTTACACTGTGTGTGCGATACGGCTGAGCTGCTCCATAAGGCTCTCTCTCTTATCTGCCCGAGGCACACCCTGCAACTCTGGTAAGTAGAGCCTTTTATGTTTTCTTTCCTCTTCTCCCTCTATCGTCTTCTGCTTGTGTGGGTCAGAATGCTCGTGTTTGGTGGGGCCAAAATGAATTTCTCTGGATCATTTCCCAGCTCAGTGATTATTGCCTGTCCTCCAATTATGAGGGTGTTAGAAGGAACAGTCTTTTCTCTTCGGCTAGACTCTGGGTGTTTTTTCAATACAAGCATGTCTGAGAGTCCATGAACTCACAGAAGAAATTATACATCTCTCAAAGAATCTCTTTCTTTGTCATATTGTCTGCTTCTGAATAGCCTTTATATGAATTTTGTAAATGGAATTTTTCATATATTTCAAAGTCACATACCACAGTGGGATTTTCCCTTCAGTCCCTACAGACGAGATAGCTGGTAGAGTCACATAATATACGTTTACCTTATGCAAGTTAAACTCTATATCCTGGGTCAAAAAACAAAGGGAGGATGAAGACTAACACATAATATAATATTTTAAATAGTGTGAAGAATTCTCAGTTATTCCATTATTTGAACAAGCATAGTAAGATGAAGATGCAGCCCTGATCTGGTTCCTCATTTGCTATCTATTCTCCATCTCTGATAGTATGCAGCTAATCCAGCTCAAAATTCTCAGGGCATATTCTTAAAATCTGGGCAAAGTAGGTTAATGATTTTAAGGATTTCCTTATCATTTATCAGTTTATTCATTTATTCATCAAATGTTTCTTGAACTGCTGGTACTAGTTCTAGACATCCAATGGGCAAAGCACCTGCTTTTATGGAGCTTGCTTCTCACCGAGACAGAAATGAAGTGCATTATATGGGAGGCAAGGAGGTGACTGACAGTTGCTTCAGTAAAATCTTCCATGGATAAGAGTTAAACAAGGACAAATAAGTAATACTGATCAAAGAGGGACAGGTATAAGCATGTATGGAAGATGAAGATGCTGAACACTAACATGAGGAAGTAGAAAGTTGGAGAGTGATAAAAGTGATGTGTTCTGAGTGGTAAAACACTTCAATGATTTAACTTCTGAATAACATTCTGCCTTGAAAGGCTTCAAGATAGGAATTCTTCACAAACTGTTTTGAGGCTTTTTTATAAGGATGCTTTTGACAGTGTGTAAGGCTTGCCTTATTCTGTGTCCTTAATACTGAACTCCTTTGTAAGATGGAACTCTACTGTGCTTACTCTTCCTGCTCCCCTGGATCTGACTGGCGAGGGAGTAGCTTGAAATTTAGAGTCAGCCTTTGGTTTGATTCTGGAACTCACTTGTTTTGTGACCTTGGACAAGTTACCTAATCTCTGTGTACCTCATTTTCTTATCTGCAAACTAAAAATTAATTGCCTTCATAGGATTGTTGTGAGGATTAACTGTCACTGCTTAATAAATATATTAAGTGCCCAGTAAATAGTAGCCATAATTGTGATTACTGTATTACCTGTTCTAGCCTGGATTAGAGGAAAATTTATTAGTGGTTTCAGAGTCAAGGGACCCTAGTCTGCTCCTTCCTTGACTTGCTGCTTCCAATTCCTAGAGCTAATTTAACTCAGAGCTGTTGCCATGGCAAATGCTCGCATTGGCCACCAAAAATGTGACCACCCTAGTTGCTCAGCACCTGCCTGAGTAACACACATGGGGCCGTCTACTAGCTGCACAGCTGTTGTGTGGCTCTTGGGCTGCTTACGTCTCTCTTCTGACCCCGTGGACCGATCCCGCTGAACGCATCAGCAGGGAAGTGCTACTTCAAGAGTCTTCTGCATGGATTGCAACCCTGAGAAGTTGTTATGTGAGGGGGAATTCTCACTTTGGGGGAACTGGTATGTCTGTAAGAGCCTTTTTGGTGATTTAGTCTTAGAAATAGCTGTCCCCTCACTTTCCTTGCTTGCTACTTTGTAGAGCATGTCCCTCAGATATGCTTAATGCTGCCATCCCTTGGGTGCTCTGTAGACTTCTGTCTATGTTAAACATTCTATAGATCAGAAAAAATCGTTTTTAGTATTAACACTGTCAAGTCTCAGGATGTTTCCTACAGTTTGGGGCTCATCCCAAGCTGTGTTTTTCTTGTGGTCGGAATTTGATCTACTGTAGTTCTTTATATGACTCCTTTCAGCAATTGTGCTTCTCTGATTCAGTGTTCTTGTTCCTTTTTTCTTGTAGGGCCGCAGAGCAGTGGCTGGGGTGATTGACCTAGGCACAGTGGAGATATTTCCCATCTTCAGAGCAATGCAAAAGGGCCTCATTGACCAAGACACAGGCCTGGTGCTTCTGGAATCCCAGGTTATCCTGTCTGGCCTCATTGCCCCTGAGACCTGTGAAAAGCTGTCTTTGGAGGAGGGCCTAGCCAGAAACCTCATTAATCCCCAGATGTACCAGCAGCTCCAAGAGCTACAGGATGCCCTGTCCTTAATCAGCAGGCTCACTGAAAACAAAGGCCCTCTTTCTGTGGTGGAAGCAATTGAAAAGAAAATAATCAGTGAGAAAGTTGGACTGAAAATCTTAGAAGCTCACCTGGCAACTGGAGGTTTCAGTCTCCCCAATGATGAGAACTGTATTAACCTAGAGGAGGCTTTTCACCAAGGCCTCATTTCTGCATGGCTTCACTCAGGGTTAGAGTCCCACTTGAGATCATCCAAGAACTTGATAGACCCAAACACAGCTGAGAAAATAGATTTACTGGATCTGATGCAGAGATGTATTGTCCACCAGGAATCAGGATTGAAATTGCTGCCTGTCAAGCAGTTGGCAGGGGGAATGGTGAGCTTGAAATCAGGCCGGAAAGTTAGCATTTTCCGTGCAGTTCAGGAAGGGCTGATAGATAGGCAGGTTACTGTCCGGCTGCTGGAAGCTCAGCTTTTTGCTGGAGGCATAGTAGATCCAAGAACAGGACACAGACTTACAGTGGGAGAGGCTGTGAGACATAATTTGATTGACCAAGATATGGCCTGTGCTCTCCTCATAAGGCAGCTTCAGACAGGAGGGATCATAGATACTGTCACTGGGCATAGGCTGACAGTGGATGAAGCAGTGAGCCATGATCTGGTAACTGCTAAGATTGCCCTTGTGATTCTGGAGTCCCTTTGGTCATTCATGGGGTTGCTATGGCCTGAGTCTGGAGAGATTCTCCCAATCACAGATGCCCTGGAACAAGGTATTGTGTCTACAGAACTAGCTCATAAAATCCTTAGTGACCGACAGCATATTAAAGCCGTATTTCTACCAGCAACGACAGAGGTTTGGTCCTGGGAAAAAGCAATTGAAAATGGTATGCTAGACAAAAGTCTTGCTAATAACTTGAAATCAGTTTGCATCCCCGATGTGATGCCCCACATGCAATTAGCAGACTCTTTAGAACGAGGCAAGTTGAACACAAATCCTGGAGAGGCAGGTGTGCTGCGCCACACAGGCCAAACCGAGGGTGCTGCAAGCCATAAGGAGAAGCTGCTGTTTCAGCTGATGACTCACAGCTACATTAACGCGAGGGATGGGCAGAGGCTGCTCCTGTTGGACAGTGAGCTGACGGAGGCACTGACAGCAAGAGGTGATCAAGCAGGTCCTCCAGAAGTGTTTGGAAGTGGGCATCAGAGGCTAGAAGCTGCTGAGAGATTACAAGAAGCAGTGAATGTGAAAATGACAGAAATTTTCTGCGATGAGCTGACTGTGAGGTCACGTGAGTTCCAATTTTCTTCTCAAAACAAAGAAGATGCCGATCAGGCGAATTACACTGAAGCAAAAGGCAAAAAGATCATTGTAGAAACAGAATGCTCTTCTATAGAGAACCCCCAAATGGACCTGTTTGTAGGGCAACAAAAAGGGGGAAACCCAAATGTTGATACTTTGAAGGTCATAGATAAAGTCAAATCAGAGTTTAAAAGACAGTTGTTTGGTACCAAAAAGGAAGACCAGTTAGAAGTGTCTACCAGAGAAAATGTCAATAGAGAATTTCTCCTTACAGTACCTCCTGAGAAAGCAGATGTGATTGTGGTGGAGGACAAAGACCTGCTTTCTGCTGAGTCACGAAAAGAAGAATGGCAGATTCTCAGAAAGACTTCCTTGGTGTGTCAGAAAGAGCAAGCAAACACACTTGAAACTGAATATACTCTAGGTGAAGCTGGAAGACCTCTCATAAAACCCCAAAGCAAAAAGTCACAATTCCAGGTTGAGAAAACTCTAGCTTTAGAATCAGAACTCAGGTCTGAAAAGGATAAGGATATTCATTCTCTGGACAAGAAGAAAGCATTAAGTAAGTCACCTTTGAGTAGGGATGACCATCAACAAAGTCCAGAAAGTCACAGCGTGGCAGGTGGTAGCAGAATGATGACAGACAAGGAAGCTGATGGCAGTGAATCTTCCCTGCCATGCAGTACTGCTTCAGAATTGCTTGAAGAGGCTACCCTGGATACATTAGCTGCACAATTAGTAGAGGGTGGTATCCTTCATGAACAGACAGGCCAAAAGCTCTTGCTAAGTGAAGCAATAGCCCGAGGCCTTGTGCCCAGTCACACTGCTGTGAAACTTATGGGAAAGATGAACATGTTTCGGGGATTCTTTGACTCTCAGACCTGCGAGTCTTTGACAACTGAAGAAGTCATTGATGAAGGTCTGATGGATGAGAAGTTGTTGCACAATGTCCTCATGGCAGACAAAGCTATAAGTGGTGTCTTAGACCCTCGTACCCACACACTGTGCTCTGTGAGGGAAGCAGTTGCCATTGGACTTCTTGACACACAAACAGCCACCAGAATTTTAGAGGGACAGGTGGTGACTGGTGGAATCGTTGACCTGAAACGAGGCAAAAAGGTTTCAGTAACTTTAGCCTCAAATCTTGGCTTGGTGGACAGTGCTGACCAGCCAGAGCTTATAAATCTGGAGAAAGCTTCCAAAGGCAGAGATGCTGAAAACACGGTTAGGGAGAGATTAATTAGCTTACAAATGGAAACAACTGGAATTATGGACCCTGACAGCAAAGCCCCTTTAACAGTCGTGCAGTCCATTGACAGAGGACTTTTGGAGAGAGATGAGGCCATTCAGTTGTTGACAAAGCAGGTGGTAGACGGAGGTATCATTCACCATATATCTGGAATGAGACTTTCTGTTGATAATGCCTTGAACCATGGCATCATTGATGAAGACTTAGCCAAGGAACTCAGAAAAGTTGAGACCTTAAGCCTCTGTCAGTTCTCTCATCCTGAAACAAAGAAAACTATTTCCCTCTCTGAAGCCATGAAATTAGATCTTGTAACCCCGGACTTGAAGAGAGAAATCCAAGAAATTCAGGCCTTCACTGGAAGCTTTGTAGATCTCATTTCTGGCCAGCAGTTGACCCTGGCAGAAGCTGAAAAGGAAGGACGATTAACTAATAAAGCAACACTGTCTTCAGAAATGATGAATGGGATTATAGATCCTGAGAGTTACAGAGTTGTTCCCTATTCAGAATTAGTAAAAAAGTGTAAAATTGATATTGAATCTGGACAGAGATATCTAGAAGTAATTCCCTTTTCAGACATTAAAGATGGAGCGAATGACAAAGTACTTACATTGTCTCAAGCAATTAAGCTTGGAAAAGTAGACTTTGCAGCTACACTGAAGGTTCTGGAAGCCCAGGCAAATGCTGGGGGAATCATAGACCCTGCCACAGGAAAAAGATTGACATTGGCATCAGCTCTGGAACAGAAATTAGTAGATGAAAACATGGTCAGAATTATTGCATCTCATCAGGTGTTGGATGGAGGAATTATTGACATATTCAGTAATCAGAGAGTGACTTTAAAGGAAGCTATTGAGAAAAGACTCATCAGTCCTGAACTGGCAACTATAATCCAAGTAGATACATTTAAGTCCAGTGATCACCAGGCTCATGTTGAAAAGCAAGATGGAATTGAAGTATGTGAAATAAAGAAGCAATTTCTAGGAAAGGAAATGTTAATTGCTCATAGTCAGCCCACTGAAATGAATTGTGGTAACGGAGATAGTGAGAAATTATTTCAAATTGAAAACCAATCTGCACAAAAAAGCATTAAAGTGAGAGTTTCTAATGGGGAGGAGGCAAAAAAGAGCAGGGAAATTTCATTAAAGGTATTGGAATGCGATGACCAAAATAAGAGGTCTTCTCCAGATGCTAAGGAATCTTTGAGTGTTATAATTCCTAGTGATGGTAAAGGTAAATCACTGGGCCAAGATTCGGAGACATATCTTCAATCAGAAATTTGTGATTTTAACCCCAAAGAGGTGGCTTATACAACCATGGAAAAAAATACAGATGAAGAGCAAGAAAAAATAGTACAAACAGAAATTATTTCTCATATGAAACAGTCTATATCAAGTCTAGATTCTAAAGAAGTAAGGGAAAACCAAGGAGGAATTATTCCAGAAGTGCAAGAGTCGAATCATGAAACTTTAGAGAAATTGCTAAGTCAGCAGGTTATACAGAAACCAATGAAAACCATGGAGAAGGGTAAGAGAGGGAAGAAGATTGTAGAAGAAAGAGTCAAGACCCACAGACCAGCAGTTCTTTCAGAAGAAAAGCTGAATCAGGAAATTGCCGTTAGTGGTGACCGTGACTCCAATATAGAGAATCAATGTATGGAGATAACTGCACGTGAAAAAGGGAAAGAAACTGACAGGGATCTGGACTTTTCTGTTGTTGGTGAAACTGAAGACTCTTCTTCCCAAATGACACCCAAAGGAATTTCTGTAAGAAATCAAGATGCTTTAACCTTCTTCAACTCTAATCTAGTCAGTGAATCTCAAGAAATTATTGTTGGGATCCAGAGTGAACTGCTGTCCTCTTTGACCCCAAGGTCTGAAGGATTGCACGACCAGGAACCGGTGGGAGGAGTCCAAGTTGCAGACACAGCCCCAGTTTTCACAACAGACAAGTCTTTCCAAGGAACCACCCGACAGGAGACTGGTTATCATCAAGATTCTTGTGTTGCCTTTAAGATTAGGCAAACCAAAGATTTGACTTTATTACCTAATGAATATAAAGAAAAATCATACCAAGAAGTACGTCTTGACTCAACAAGCACTGTTAAATTGGAAGAAATTAGAGTAGGCTCCAAAGAAGTCAATTATCTGGAGTTCTCGGACAGAAAGGACCTTCATCCACAGGACAACAAGAGTGATGGTGAACATGGCAGAATTCTTGAGTCTAAAATAGTGACAACTCAGGAAATACCTGGAGAGGAATCTCTACAAATGTCAAACCTTATAGTTACAGGTGCAGAAGTAGGGTCCTTTGAAGGCATAGTGACTCAGAGAGTTCCCAGAGTCTCGGTGTCCCTTCTCCCAGAGAAACTGTCCAGAGGGGTGTCTCAAAAAGAGAGTACAGGACAACAGGATGCCACCATTAGTCCTATTCCAGACACCAGTGAAGAGGAGATGGTGCCCCCAATATCGTGCCCCACAATGAAGATGGATGAGAAGACACCACAGGAGAAGCTTAGAGAGAGCCCTGGCAGCGAACAAACCCCCCTGATGACTGTACCAGGGGGAGCGAGTGTGAACCCGGAGCCCTTCAGAGCTACTAAAGTAAGTTACCCAGTGGTGTATTTGTGTGTGTGTGTGTGTCTACTTGTTATGGCTAATTTCATCCTAAAACTCTTGACTGGATACTGAGTTTTCATAGGTATGATTAATTGTATACATACATCTACTTAAGGACACTAGAGGATTCTCTAAGATATAGCTTAGTTTATTGTCATCTGTTTGTAACATAGTTTTTGGAAAATTAGGTAGTAGCCCTGAAAGTCTTTCTGAAATTTGCAAGCGTAGCATTGAAGCTAAGTTAAAATACTGAGGCTATGGTACCTGAAGTCAGAAGAGGTTTTTGCTAAAATGATGCTTATAGATTGATAACTTTGAGCTTGTGCTCCCTGAGGAAATTAATGAATTGCTTTTTTGTCTGTTGATTTGAGACAATTTAGATAAAATAACAATTTATTTCATTCCACGCAATGTGTAGTAAAAATTTCTGTTCTGTTCTATGACCCTGCCCGCTTTAAAGGCAGACTTAAAGGAGAATGTCAGATTTGAGTGAGTTTTCTTTTTGGCTCCACAGAATGTATTTACCCGGCAGCTCTGCCTAGAACATGATGAGAAGTTGGTATCCTATCTGTCTCTTTTACGGGACATTGAAATGAGGACCAAGCAGATTCAACCTCTAGAGCTCAACCTGGCAGAGCTACAGGATCTGCTGTGTCAGGCCAAGGTAGGTTCCCAGAGACTTCCTCCAGGCCCATCAGCTTGAGAAAAGTGAGAAGACACCACAAGAGAAGCTCCTAAAGGAAGAAAAACATGTTCAAAAGCACTGCTATTTAATGGACAAAAAGTAGATTGGAAAAACTATAACTAGAGATCTACGAAGAACAGCATGGGGTACTAGTCACAGAAACCAAAGCGTGAGAGACTCAAGGGAGCATTAGAGACACGGGGCAGCATTAGATACTGGTCAGCAGTACTAGATACAGTAAGGGGACCGAGTACAGTGAAAACTAAAAGTGGGGCTCAGTGCCTGGAGGCACCAGGCGCCTGATAAGAACAGCCACAGTCGAGTGGTGGGGTATGAACTAGGTTGCAGTGAGAATAAACAGGACGTTGGAAGGTGGAGACAATTAACGTAGGTCATGCTTTCCAGAAGCTTGGTAGTGCAGACACGGAAAGCGAGGTCGGACACTAGCTAAAGTGCGTTGGCAGAGGAAAGCTTTGAGTGGGCTTTCAGGCTGAGGAGAAAGAACCAATGCAACAGGAGAACTTGAAGTTAGGGAAGAGAATAAGTGATCACTGATGCACTGAGGTCCCTGAGGACATGGAAAGGCGTGGACATAGACATGGAGGCTGAGAGTTGTCGCAGGGTTGGAGTCAGGAGGAGTGCAGAGATTGTAGAGGCTTACCAGTTCTCTCAGTGTCCAGAGGGTGGGCTTAGGCAGGATAGCTGAAGGGGAGGTGAGGATGATGCCCAAAGAACTACCAGGCTCTTCCACAGCTTGTTTCTGGTTTCTTTGCTGAGGAGCAGAATATTGAGGAATAGCTGGGTGGAAAAGCTGGCTTGGGATATTTTTATGTTCTTTGGTTCCACTTGCTTGAAACTTCGGAGTGGAAGAGTTGTCCTTTGGTTGACATATATTGCATCACATTATTTAAAGCATAATGACACTCTTGGAGAGGTAGCAAGTTGTAGGGCAAGAAACATTGCCCTGAGTCAGAAAACCTGATTGCAAGTCTGGGCTCTTATTGCTTATCAGCTGGGTGACCTCAGGGAAAAACAAATTCACATTTTTAAGCACTGAGGCATCTGTCCTATAAATTCAGGATTATGATGTTTGCTTTGCCTCCTCAAGAATGATTGATTGTGAGAACAACAGAAAAACGAATGAATGTCTATAAAAACATTTTATAAGCCCTAAAGCCTGTGTAAGCATGAGGTGACAGAATAATGTGTTTACAGCTGATTCTAAGACAGCAAGATTTCTAGTCTCGATTTTGATGGTAACTCCAGTTTATGCCCTCAGGTATTAGACAAGGAGCTAAAGGATCTGTCCACAGTGGTGAGTCAGGAATTGGAGTGTGTGGATCAGATTATCATCAGCCAGCCTCAGGAGGTCCCAGCTCAACTGCTGAAGGCTCTAGAAAAAGACGCCAAGAATCTTCAAAAGTCCCTCAGCTCTGTGAGTGACACCTGGGGTTCCAGACTGCTCCACCTCCAGAGTGCCTTGGAAGTACAGAAGGTAGCTTCTTGTTTTTATTTACAAAGGCTCACAGAATCTGGGCAGGCTTGGAGAGTTTTATCATCTAACTTGCCACTTATTTCTTAGACTAGAGTGTTAAATCAGTATGAACAGCTAGAAGGCAGACTTCAAGATCTGAGAGCCTGGGTTGACAATACCCATGTTATTCTGAACAAAAAGGAATATGACAGTGAAACAGATGCTGACAGCCTGAATCACTGCCTCCAACGGTGTGAGGTGAGTGCACCACCACCTCTCAAGCATGTTTTATTTGCCCTTTTGTGTTGTATTAATTTTATGTCTCTGCTAGGCAGACCAGTATCTGTACTTGCCTTTACTTAGAAAGTCTGACTTTCCATTTGAGAAATAAAGTCTTTGCAAACTTTTTCTGTACCGGGCCAGACAGTAAATATTTTAGGTCTTGCAGGTGACCTGTTTCTGTGGCAGTTGTTCATCTCTGCTGTAGAAACATGAAAGCAGCCATACACAGCATATAAACAAATGGTTGTAGACATGTTGCAGTAAAACTTTATTTACAAAACCAGATGACAGGCAGGTCTGGCTTGGGGAATGTAGATGACCAACCCCTCATCTTGAGAGATGGTTTTCTTCTTGTTAAACTCCAAGTTAATTGATTCTTTTTTGTAAGTCAGTGAGAATTAAACATTTTAAGATATATTTAAGCCTAGGATTCTCCTGCCCCCAGCACTGTTGTTTCTTTTGAATTATACTTAAGATAATATCAGGTAATGCTCACATTGGTTTATCCACCCTCTGCTATAGCTATTCCTCTCAAATTCTTTCTGAAGTCAAAGCAGAACTAGAGATGTTCCCTCCTATTCCATCCTCTTCCTTTTCCCCAGTCTTAAGAGGTACAGACCTAAATGTTGTCTGTGGTCAGATTTCCCTTGTATGCATCCTTGCCCTTCTTTATCTTGGAAGAGTTGACCTGCCTTCTTTTTTTTTTTTTTTCATCATTAACTTGGAATCTTTATTCTTGATGATTCTCTAATAAGCTTATCCTTAGTCTGGTTAAGCAAACTCTTATTTGGCTATGAAACTCATTCAAATTTGTTAAAGGCACTAAGATGATAAAATTATACAGCCAGCTGGGAAACCCATGAAATAACACAACTTTTAATAAAATTGTCAGGTTTCAGTTCCAGTAAACCACAAGACAGGGCCTCAAGCCTATTCATATCACATCATTCCAGAATGAGGAGCTGTGGCCAGAACCTTTTTATGGGGCAGGAAAAAGAATCAAAGTTGGTCAGTGCTGATAAATACAGGTTAAATAATACACTGCTCTTTACAGATGGCTACAGAGTCTGTAAACTATTATCCAGGAATATACAACTGTCCAACACAAACCACTTAGCCAGATCTAAGATAAACTGGCTTCTTGTAACTACCCTGTAAACACTGCAGCCCTTCATCCAAAAATGACCCTAATCTCACATGAAAACAGTCATTATAAGGGAATCAGAAACTCAGCTTTGTGGCCAAAAATAAAAACCAAAGGAAAAATAGCAATTCAGTGGTTAGTTGGTGAAAGCGGGAAAGCTGGTGCCCTTCACTGTGCTGCTTTGCTCTTCTTACTCTTGCTCTTTTTGTCCCTCTTCTTCAGCCCATCCATGTTAGCTCGCAATAGGTTTGAATAAGCCATCTGAAACTTATTCACTTCTTTGGAGCTCACCACAGTGCTGATCTTCTTTTTCCCATCAGTAGCTCTTAACAGACATTTGTTGTCTGAGGGCTCAAAGCCCTCCACAGAACCCTTCCTTGGAATGGGTTTAGTTTGGCCATCATACTTCTTCAGGGTGATAAACACGCTGCCCGACAACCGGCACTTCTGGAAGAGCCTAGTCAGCTCCGTCAGGAACTGTTCACTCTCCAGCAGCCCCATCCTGGCGCTGCCAGCTCTGCTCAGTCAGCACTGACCTGCCTTCTTTAATGCCTTCATACCCTTTAATCCAAATATACTGATGGAGGAATGAGTAGCAGACTCTGTTCACTGACAGAGTTTTGAAAGAAGCAAGGGTGAGAAAAATTCCTATGACATAGTATGAAATATAAAAACAGAGCACCTCCTATATTTGTGTCCTTGCCTAGTTATAAATTATATGAATTCCATTATGGGAAGAGAGCCACAGTCTAAGCCTCATTTTCCTAGTGAGTTTCCCAAATCCATGTGTTCACAGACAAAGGAAGTATAGTCATGTGATAAATATGCAAGTAGTCCTCCTATAAGCCCACTTTGCAGGATTGCTGACTGCTCCCAATTTCAAAGTGATAGACATGCAGGTATTCTACTTGTTTTTATGGTTTTTTAATTGCATCCAGTGTAACGTGGGTAATGATTACTAAAAGTTTGTGGGAATATTGCATGCTTTTTAATTGTCTAAAAGCAGATAAATTCTAGGGTTTAGGCAGTTTTTAACTACTTTATCTGACTGTAATCCTTTACAGTTTTAAAATGTATAACATGTTTGACATTTTTGTACAGTTTTAAATGTATAACATGTATAACTATTTAAAAGTCAAATTTTAGTGAACCACTAAGAAATTGAATATTTTCTCACTTCTGGCTTACCAGTATCTCAGGGCTAGACAAATACAAATGGTTATTTGAACCTAATAAAATACAATTAGATCTATCTCAGACCAAAAATTCATGCTCTACTTTCCAAAGTATAGCATTTTTTCACAGATATTTGGGATTAGCAGTGCTATAATATAAATAGCACTGCTATTTATTATTTTCTATTAATATAAATAATGGAAAGTATAGTGCATTTAGAAATCGGTGGTTGATTTAATTTACTGTTCGTTTAATTACAGTTAAAGGAAACCTAGCTATAATATGTGAGGACTCTGGAGAGGCCAGAAGTGAGAGAAACTTCCATTGTGGGTTGGCCCTAGAAGTAATCAGTGTCACTTTTAAAAATACAGGAAATTCACCTCTGTTTGATTATGTTGATTCTTTGATTAGAACCAACAGTTTCTGCTTTTATGGAGAATTAGAAGCTTCTTTTTCCTTTTCTTCCTTCCCCATCTCGCTCAGGACCTGAAACAGCCCGTGGCCGGGAGGAAACCTCAGCTGGACGCACTTGCCTTTGATGTTCAGTTCTTCATCTCTGAGCATGCCCAGGACTTGTCTCCTCAGCAGAACCGGCAGATGCTGAGGCTGCTGAATGAACTGCAGAGGTCCTTCCAGGACCTTGTAGAAGAGACTACAGCTCAGGGGGATGCCTTGCGGAACCGTCTTCAACAAATGGAGCAGGCTGCCCAGGTCAAGGTCAGACTGAACCAGCGGCTGGGCTCAGTTGGTCCCTGGGATTGTCCTCTGTCTTTGGGTTTTCTGGCCAGACACCATCTTGTCAGGGTTCCAGGAGCCTGCGTTTACCAGTTTTGATTGGTCCAGGCCAGTTTGGTTCTGATCCACGAGACAGCTGTTTTGACTGTCTTTCTTGCCGTGTTTTTGGTTTTATGTTTGCGTGTGAGAGAATATATGTGTTTACGTGTGTATGCATGTGCAAGGTGTTTTTTTCTTAGTTAAACTCTACTGTAACTGTATCTCATTCTCTGACTTTCAAATGAAAATTTTATCCGCAGCCCTTATTTCCACCACTCTCCCTCAGTATTCTTTTGAGGACTATTGGGAGCAATTAGATACTCTGAGCCCTTGAGAAGAATGGTCCTGAGGTTAGTTTGATTCTAGGGCTTTTCAGATGATTAACAGTAAGATTCCTTGACCACCTTCAGACACCTGACAAAAAGATTTTTATCAGAATCATATTAATTCTTTAGCACCTTTGAAAACTATTCTTTTCTAGCACCTTTCTGTACACTGTGGTATCTAGTGCTTATTCAGTTGTGGAAAACTCTGTGTAGAAGCACTGTTGATAAACTTTGCAGGAAGCAGGAGACTAATCATCTTACCACCTTCTATCACAACCCTCTTGTAGAGCTCAACATAATTGCATGGTAACATCGTAACCTTAGAAGACCAAGAATGATGCTTATGCCATTATTCTGTATGAATAATAAATTGAAATTCAGCAAGATAGTATTAGAATTGTCATCACCAGTAAAACGGTCTCAGTGTCTCTTTTATTAAGTATTGTGCATAGTAGAATTGAGCTTTTGAGGCAGGCTTACAGGATATCTAGTGAAGTCTGTATGTCCCTTGTTACTGCTTAGTTGTTGCAACTGGATTAAAATTGAAGTAAGATATTAACGAAATATGGTAGGTTACCTTCTAAATCTGGAAATTAGCAGTGTCCTTACTTGGATTTTATACAGCTTGGTATAGCTTATGTATAATTAATGTAATAGCATTGGTCTGGGCCACCTTAAGATACAGCCCACATCCAGGGTAGGCCCCTGAGTTGCAGAAGATGGTCCAGTTGCATGTGAACATTCTCTTCAAGCGTGTAATTAATTCCACGACATTTATTAACCTTGTTATTGTCAGAAATGCTCTGCTTCTCTCTATATTTGCCCTGAATGCATGTGTTTGTCTATGTGTTAACTTGTTTGCTTTGCTTTTTTCAGATTCAGTCTGCACCCATCCTAACCCATGAGGATCCCGTTTTACAGCTGAAGAGCTCTTAGGAGTTCTCTGCCAGAGCCTTTCTGTTTGTCCTAAAGCGGGGGAGAGAGGGCCAATTTGGGCACCTGTTTGTAAGTGCAGGTGACTCAAAATGCCATCAGAAGGTGGAAACTGGTGGAAAAATGGTTTTAGAAGGATGATCAGGAGAACACATCATGCTCAATTGCTCAATCAGGTGCTTCAGTGTCATGTGACTGAGAGGTCTGGAAAAGGATCAGGCACAGAAGCAAATCCCTCCTCCCCTCGGGCCATCTTTTCTCTTGGCTATTGGTGTAGACACCTGAAGGACCGAGCCCATTGCTATTCTTGGGCACTTCCCTTCTTCTCAAAATAGCCAAGCCCCTCACGCCTGGCAAGTAATCATTCCATTTAATGGGTGTCTGCATTTGTGAGACATTTGATTTATATAAAGTCAGATTAATTATTAAGAAGCTCAATTAGCTTATAATTATCCAGTTTCTTGATTTTTCCTCCTACTCCAGTCCTTCTAATTTTCCATATTATGACTTCATATGTAGTATATCATCCAGTTCCTGTAGAAGTGATCAGAACCTGTCATTTATTTTCATCCCCAGTATCATCTATGGATTTTAATCATCTAGGCTCTCTCTTCTCCATTTCCATGGATAAGAAGCAGTCTGGCAAAGGAGCTTCCAAACCAAAACCTCAGAGCATTCTCACCTGAAATCACTCCTGATTGTAATTCAGACCATAGATCCAGACCAATAGACTGTCCAAATGAGGGGAACTTTCTGAATATGATTTCTGTGCCTTTTCCTGCTCTAGTCTCCCACCAACTTTTCCATCCTTGTGATATAACCTTCCTATTTTACATTTCAGGGAGTTATCTTATGTTTATAAAATGAGAATCATTAATTATCTCTTGGCCCCTTTGCATTTTAATTAGACCCTACAGAAACAACAAAATACCTGTCACCAGAAACTGGAGGATCTTTGCAGCTGGGTAGGACAGGCAGAAAGAGCATTGGCTGGCCATCAAGGTAGAGCCACCCAGCAGGATCTCTCTGCTTTGCAGAAGAACCAAAGCGACCTGAAGGTCAGTAAGAGTTAACTCACTTTTTTCATTCCATCAGTAAGTACTTAGAAAGGCTTGCTGTGTACCAGGCCCAGCGCTTAGTGCCAGCGACATAATGGTTAAGTATCCCTGCTCTCATGAAGCTTACAGTGTCATGGAAGAGACAGACTTTACACAGATAATCACAGAAGTGAGCATATAATGTATTCACTATTATATCTATAAAGGAAACATTACATAAGAAGATATAACAGACCCGATCTTGACTTATATATCAGAAGATTCCTTTAAAGAAGTGTCATTTAAACTGAGATGAAGGATACGTAGGGGTTGATACATGAAGGGGTGGGAGGAGGAAGAAGACATGCCAGGCAGAGGCCTGTCCGTCAGTCTGGAGGTGGAAATGCGATCAAGCACAGTACTAAAGAATTGGAATAAAGCTAGTTTGACTGTACTGCAAAGAACAAAAGGAAGATTAGTGAACAATAAAGCTGGGGAGGAGGCAGGACCCAGATCATGCTGGGTCTTGTAGGCTACATGAGGGTTCAGGAGTGATAACCAAGAGAATTACGAAGAACCAGCCAGGTCTCAACACTGTTAAGAGTCCCATTGTCAACTCTGCTTTACAGAAGAAATGATCTCTTTGAGGATAAGTCATTGCAAAATAAAAATCGTATTTGTGGGCATTTTCCTTTTATATCTTCACTAAATATCTTCTTAGAAATTTAAATTTTTCTTAGAAAATTAAATATTTTTTGAAGCTTCTCAATTAAAAAGCATTTAAAATTTTATTATCTACATTGGTTTAAGCATAAAACTTAGCAAATTATAGTCAGGGAAATATGTCCATTGCAGATAATGTCCTTCTAGTCATTCCATCTTTGTACTGTTGAGAGGTCTTAGAAGAACTAAAGTTGAAGCCTCTGCTATCCTATTTTCATGTGTTAAGGATTTACAGGACGACATTCAGAATCACGCCACCTCATTTGCCAGTGTTGTCAAAGACACTGAAGGGTTCCTGGAAGAGAACCAGACTAAACTGAGCCCCGATGAGTTGACAGCTCTCCGGGAGAAACTCCATCAGGCTAAGGAGCAGTATGAAGCTCTCCAGGAAAGGACAAAGCTGGCCCAGAAGGAGCTGGAGGAAGTGGTGACCTCAGCCTTACAGCAGGAGACTGAAAAGGTAACCAGACTGCTATGATGCTTGGTATTTTTCAAAAAAGAAAATTTTGGTACCTACACAAATAAAAGCGGATGACCTTCCAGAGAGCGTAGAATTGAGGAAAAGGGCTCATTCAGAAGCTGATCTGTGAGTTGATATTTATTTTTACAAGAAACATTCTGAAGGACTTTTAAGTCAGGAATAGTTGGAAAGTTCATGTTCCAAATCACCGTCACCATCCTCATCATCTTTGGGGAAAAAGCATAGGGCATATTTTTAACATGAATCGGGACTGGTGATCCAAGGGTGCTAATGAAGACACCTGGGCAGTCTTAATGGGCCTCAAGCTCTCCTCAGGCTGCCATTACAGTTTCAGTGGGAAATCATGGCACTGGGATAAACTTAAGGTGAAGTCTTGTGGTCTTCTGCACCCCACCTAGCACTGGCTAATTAGAGTTCTTTGTCTGGTTGTGAACTTGTACACTAATGAGGGCGGTAGAGAATGTGGGAAAGAGAAGTACATTACCTGAAGATGAATTCTGAAATACATGTACGTATCACTTAGCATAACCTGTTTTATTTATAAACTACTTGAAGATTCAGAAAATAGAATTTGAGAGGCAAGTTTCAGGGTTCAGTGCTCTCTTGGCAGAGGAAAGGATGGGAGTGATCTGTGATTTCTTTAAGGAAGAGCAGCCAGGTAATTGAGTGTAATTGTGCTATTTCTTATCTTATTAAGTTAGTGTGTAACTTCTGCATACCTAGCAAGGATTCTGTAAAACCTGGAGAGTTGCCAGGACAAAATCACCACTTAATAGAGCCTTTTCAAATCCTGGGATTCAAATCCCCTGTTAGAAGTGATGAGATATAGATCAAATTTAAGGATTTTAAATAATTATTTTTCAACAGATTTAGAACATGCTTGTTTTTCTTTGTGAACGCAAAGAGTGTTTATACCCAGCCTTAGAGTTTCTCTCTCTTTTTTTTTTTTTTTGACCTAAACATCTTTCCCTTTACTTAACCTTTGGTTATATGGTAGCTGAGTATTTAAGGCCTTCTCACTAGACTCCCCCTGTGGCTTTCAGAGTAAAGCAGCAAAGGAACTGGCAGAGAACAGGAGGAAGATCGATGCTCTCTTGGACTGGGTGACCTCCGTGGGATCATCGGAAGGACAGATGGAGCAGCTCTCAGGCAACCTGGAGAAAGGAGCCTTGGATACCACCGATGGTCACACTGGGCTGAATGAAGCCCCAGAGAAGCTGGACAGGCAGTGTGAGAAGTTGAAGGTGAGCATGTTAGCTTGTTCTCACAATGCTGGGTGAATCTCTCCTGCCCTGGGCAAGTCACCATAACCTCCTGCCCTAAATCCAGTGAGAACTTCCCAGTTCATATCTCTGATTTCTCAGTAGCCTTAATACCCTTGACCACTCCCCTGGAAGTAGTTTCCCCCTTGTTTCCATAGCACTGTCTTCCCTGATAATTCTCCCTTTCCTCTGGCCAGCTTCTGAAACACACTGATGCACTTCCCAGTTGTAGCCTAGGTCTCATCTTAATCATTTAGGTTATACTTTCCTTAGGTAATCTCATCCATCCATAACACTTCACTTCCTGTTTGTACTAGTGATCTCCATGTATTTATTTGTCTTCAGCCTGAATGCCTGTCCTGAGTGTATAAATCCTTCTCTCTGTTTGCAGCTTGGAACCACAAGCACCTCAACCTGAGAAATGGACCTCCTGTTTTCTAAAGTACCTCTCCCCCAACGAACATGTTCTCCTTCCTAAATTTCCACTCACTTGCCTGGACTAAAACATCACCCTAGATTCCTTTCCCTCTCTCCCTCTCCCACTTTGAATCAGTCATCAAATCCCATGCTTCTTACATCTCTCAAAGACATCACACTTTTTATTTCCATCGAGGTATTATTGCAGTTCAGACTACTGTCAGCTTTCTCCTGTGTTACAGTAGCTTCTATTGGTTTCCTTGCCTCTTGACTTTTACCCTCAAGTCCATTCCCACACTACTAAGTGAGCTTTCTTAAATGCTGTCTTTCTGCTTAACTCCTTTAATGGCTCCCTGATGCTCTCAAGAAATCATTTCTTACTTTTCTCTACTCATTTATTCATTCAGCAGTTATCGAGAACCCACTGTATGACAGGCATTGGAGATAAGCCAGTAAACCAACCAGATCCATCATCTCCAAGATATTAACTGGCATATGCAGGCATATTTAGTGCATGATAAGAAGACTATTATATATTTAGGGAACTTGGAAAACACATGGGTCACATATATTAGTAGTGACACCTTTTTAGCAAATAAAATTGGCTTAGCTGGAATGCTTCTGTTGAACAGCCTGTGTGGCCATTGCTTTATTTTGTATTCATAGAATTTCTGCCTCTTGCAAGCTACTTCCTGCACTTGTCAGATCCATTGTAGTGTGTACCCTAAAGCCCTGGCAGTCTTAGCTCAGAGCAGAAATGGTCCTGCTGTCACGGGGGCTCCCTGATACTGGTTGTTGGCAGCTCCATCCTAGCTAGGAAGGGAGCCACCTTACCTTGGGTGGATAAGCATGGGGACATCTTGTGGTGCTGATGTCTTTCTTTCAGCACCTCCCAAGTGCTGCCCCCTCCTTCTCTTTCAGCCAGATATATTTGTCACCCCAACTTCCCTGAGATGACATCAGAAGCTGAAGCTATCATGTTGCCATTGTCTTTCTCTAGGGAGTTGCATTCACAGTGCGGATAGTCAAGAACACTTCCTAAGCACCCACTGTCCTCTGTTAGCCTCAGGAAGAACATTTTTAGGGACAAAACAAAGCAACCACGACTGTCCTCAAAGAACTTATGTTCCATTTTTTAAATAGAAAAAAGGTCCACATGTGCGTACGTAAACATAGCACACACAAAGTACAGACTACCTGTACTATCTGTACTATGCAGAAATACAGTTTATTCTTACTAATATACAAATGTTTATCTGAAAAACTAGTTTCACAAGATATTTTCTAGTAGGAACACTCTTCAAGGATGTATGAATGACGTATTTCACAGCTTAGCATTTGCAGATGACCTGTTTTATGCTGTCCCATGTATGGCTTGTGAAGATTACTCACTCCTTCCATCAGGGTGGGTAGTTTTAGTTGGCCATTTGTACCTTCTCTTTGACCTGCGGTCATTTAGTGAAGAGACTCCAGTTCTAGTCACAGTTTGTCCCATAACTATCTACATAGCCTCTATTAAGACCTACAACACCTTTTTGGCATTCACTCATCCCCTCTTTGATATGGGAATTATATAGTCCACCTGCATTGCAGATGGTGGCGCAAGTCGAATGAAATAACACGTGACAGCTGTCAGACCCTAGGTAAATCAGTTCACTGGGATTAGCATATGGCATAATACCTAGCAATTCAGAGAGATTGGTAATATCTGAGCAGCTGGAAAAGTGGCCTGTTGCAATCTCTCCCTACTTCCGGCTGTAGACATAACCAAGTCATTTTGGTATCCCTACTGATAGTCCTTTGTTTGGGGGGATTTTTTTGCCAGGCTCGTCACCAAGAATTGCTGTCTCAGCAGCAGAATTTCATCCTGGCCACGCAGTCAGCCCAGGCCTTCCTGGACCAGCACGGCCACAGCCTCACACCCGAGGAACAACAGCTGCTGCAAGAGAAGCTCGGAGAGCTGAAGGAGCAGTATGCGACTTCCCTGGCCCAGTCGGAGGCAGAACTAAAGCAGGTGCAAACACTGCGGGACGAGCTGCAAAAGTTTCTGCAGGACCATCGAGAGTTTGAGAACTGGCTAGAACGGTCTGAGAAAGAGCTGGAGAGCATGCATCAGGGAGGCAGCAGCCCCGAGGCCCTTCCCGCCCTCCTGAAGCGGCAAGGGAGCTTCTCGGAGGATGTCATTTCCCACAAAGGAGACTTGAGATTTGTGACTATCTCAGGACAGAAGGTCTTGGACACAGAAAACAGCCTTGAGGATGGCAGAGAACCATCAGCAACTGGAACCTTAGTGAAGGACAAGCTGAAAGATGCAACAGAAAGATACAGTGCCCTCCATTCAAAGGTATGGGAGTGGTATCTGGCAGCCCTCACACAACCGTGGATGGTTTCTGGGGCTTACAGTAAAAACTTCAGGACACAGTGAGCAAGTGGATTTGTAGAATGTCTTTATGAGCCTCTGGGGGAAAAAAATGCAGAGGCCCAGGGGCTTATGCTCAACCTGAGCCCTATCTAGGGGTATGTCTCACTCCAGTGGTGAAGGTGGGAGTGATCGCCTCCCTATATCTTGACCAGCAGGTGTGAACACCAAGAGACAGAGCACAGGGAAACTTAGACCAAATATATAGTCTTCATTCCTGGATAGAACATTTAGGGTAAAGCTTAATCTTCCTCCCTATCAAAGAAGTTCCTTTAGCTCTCAAGATACAGAATCCACTTAATTCTTTTTACCTGTCTTATGTTTTTGCCAACATCTTTAACACTCCCAATAGGAAAATGTTTTGTACCTTTGATCCCCACCTTTGCCTGCAGCTTGATGTGTATTTCATCAGTAGCCTGTCATACAACTCACTGAGTCTTCCCCTGTATATAGTAAAGTTGGGGTGGATAGTCTGGATCAAACAATCAGGATGCACTTGTAGAAAACGGTTGCTCCCGTCTACCTGTGGAGGCTCACCTACCCTCACCTGCAGTCTCAGTCAGGTCCCTGGAGCACAGTCAGGCCTCTTTGAACTTGCCTGGGAAGCTGCTGCCTCTGGCCTGACCTGCTTTGGTCTGCTTCCCCTTCTTTCTCTGGCACAGTGTACACACCTGGGCGCTCACCTGAACATGCTGCTCGGCCAGTATCAGCAGTTTCAGAGCAGCGCCGACAGCCTGCAGGCCTGGATGAAAGCTTGCGAGGCCAGTGTGAAGAAGCTCCTCTCAGATACAGTTGCCTCTGACCCTGGGGTCCTGCAACAGCAGTTTGCAACCACAAAGGTGAGCCAGGACACGGGCTCTTGTTCCACACAACTAAGAGTGCCCCCAAAGCAAAGCACACGCTTGCAGAGGTGAAAGGCAGGTGTTGGGATGCCTTGGACGAGATCTGATTCCTGAACACTGTATTCTAACGTCTGTGGCTGTGGATAAATAGGATTATTCTACAGAGCTGCTCAGTAGCTCTCGATCCCTAGAAACCCGCTTTGATTACTTCACTCTAATGGTTTTCTTTTGTCCTTTTCCATGGACAAGCAGCAGTTGCAGGAGGAATTGGCTGAGCACCAAGTACCTGTAGAAAAACTCCAAAAAGTAGCTCACGACCTCATGGAAATTGGAGGGGAGCCAGCCCCAGACCGCAGACATGTTCAAGAAACTACAGGTATGAAACAGCAGTGGCCACTCCTGCCTCCAAGTGTGTCCTTCTGGCCTGTGGTATCTCACACTGTGATGCACAAGCATCTGTGCTGCTGGTGAGGAGCTGCGGATCCAAGCACAGAGCTAACCCTCTAACGAACTTGAATCTCACACCGTAGGAGGCCTTCGTGGCCTGGCTTCAACCCTTTTTCCGCAGACACTCGCCTTCCTACCACACCCGACTTCCTTCCTTTCCCAAGTGAGCTAGTCATTTCCTCATTGCTTTCCCCCTGAAGTTTGTCCTGTTTCTTAGCTTCTAACATTTATCAAGTGCTTACTGTGCGTGATGATATCTTGCTCCTGCTTCTAGATGTAACCAGGAAGTTACTTCCTTGGTAAACTCCTGACCCCACCCCCACCCCCAAGAAGTAAAAGATAAATAACTTTTCCTTCTGGCTTCCCTAGTACAGTACTCCTAGTACTAATATAGCACTTGTGATTTTATTTTTGTGGTTAATTGATATGCCTTCCACTACCTATGCTCTCTTTTAAAGTTTTAAGGTTTGTGGAAGGAAGGGACTTTATCATAATAATCTTCAGTTCTCAGCACTGAGCACAATTTTTGGCACTTAGTAGGTGCTAAATATACAATGCTTATTGAATTTGGTTCAAATAGTGAGGTATTTAAGCTTATTCTGTTTGTCTTGATGTCCATTGTTATAATAATTAACATGTACAATTTAAATACATTTTTAAAAAAGTACAACAGAAGAATTGTCTCCACTTTTTCTTGTCATCGCCTTGATTTTCCAGATTCCATACTCAGCCATTTCCAACGCCTCTCCAGCAGCCTAGCGGAGCGCTCTGCTCTGCTGCAGAAGGCAATTGCCCAGTCTCAGAGTGTCCAGGAAAGCCTGGACAGCTTGTTGCAGTCCATCAGAGAAGTTGAAAATAACCTGGAAGAGGAGCAGGTGGTGTCGCTGTCATCAGGAGTCATCCAAGAAGCCCTGGCCACTAACATGGTGAGACCTGTGCCCCAGGAGTTAGCATAGAGGATATATTTGCCACCTACCATAGTGACATCATTTTGGAAAAGTATCAGGAAAAGAATGTATTTCCATGAATATTCTAATAGACTTAGAGATGATGACTAATTAATGTAAAGGTATGTCTGCTCAATTTCCAAACCATTGGTAAGCTTGAGGGACAGTGGTAATAGCAAAGTCATTGGTGGCCTGAGGTGGAGAACTAAGAGTATTGATGATGTTCTGAAGGTTCAGTTGCAATCCTTCAAGCCTCCTTGAGGAAGTGAGCATGTAGTTACTAGAAGTTTATTAGTTTGTGGCTCAGATGTCCCAGAATAACTGAGCCAGGAGCTGACAGATATGCTCTTGATGACAGAAATTGAAGCAGGATATTGCTCGGCAGAAGAGCAGCTTGGAGGCCACCCGTGGCATGGTGACCCGATTCATGGAGACAGCAGACAGCACCACGGCCACTGCGCTGCACGGCAAACTGGCTGAGGTGAACCAGCGCTTTGAACAGCTCTGTCTACAGCAGCAAGAAAAGGAGAGCTCCCTAAAGAAGCTTCTGCCCCAGGCAGAGATGTTTGAACATCTCTCTGAGAAGCTGCAGCAATTCATGGAAAACAAAAGTCGGCTGCTGGCCTCTGGGAATCAGCCAGATCAGGATATTGCACATTTCTTCCAGCAGATCCAGGTGAGGCTTTATCTGCCAGATTGGTGGAATAAAGGGGAAGGAAGGGCAAGGAAAAACAAATATTTACTGAGCACGTAATATGTTAGTCAGTCTACTGGCAACTTGACCTGCATTGTCTTAAAGAATTCTCACAGCCATCCTGTAAACTCGATATTGTTTGTTCATTTTTAAAAAACACAGCCTAGCTTTATTTTTCGCTCATAGCATGTGTTCAGCCCAGATCACAAGGGACACTTAGCTCACCATAATCACTCAGTCTTTCAAGTTGATGGAAACTTCATCCTGACATATGTTTTCATGATTACTACTGCAAGGGGAAGAGGACATACCATATCCATTTACATTTTGTTAGTCAAAGCAAGTTTCACATGATCAGACCTGACTTTCAAGGTGGGTAGAGAAGTGTAATCCTACCATATACCTAGTAGGAGAGCTGAAAATACTGCCTTGCACAGATGCAGATGTGTCTCCAGGGGTAGAACTGCTGGGTCACAGTGTATGCCTGTACTTCATTTGATCAAGTGGTGGCTCACTTCAGCTCCAGCACGGCTGCGGCTGCCCACCTACCCACCTGTAGTGCCTTAGCATTGCTGTATGCCCGCACCACCACCTTGGTTTACCAGCTGTGTGGCCTTTTCCATAGTGTACTGTGATCTCATTGTTTTGTTCGGTTTGCTCTCCTCACTTTTTGCTTTTGTTTTGAAAAATTTTCAAATTCTAGAAAAGTAAAAGGAATAGCACAATAAACACTGGCATACTTTTCATCTTGATCTACCAATTGCTATTTTCTTTCTCTTTATAAATGTATAAAAGAGTGTCACTATGGGGTCCCATATTCATTATCATTATTGTTCTTTTTTATATTCAAGCAATTTCCCGTGTTTGGTCAATGAGAGCCCCTTTAAGCTGTCTCCTGATATCTTTTTGACATGTCCCTACCAGTATATGAGTACTCTCTTACTTTCTGGCACAAGGTGTCATGGTCATCTTGTAATTTCCCTGTCCCACACCTGAAATCACCTATTTCTCCAAGGAAGCCTATTTTTACGGGACAGTTATATTTAGACATCAAAATCCAGATACTTCATGAGCCACTAGGATGCCATAGCTTCTCGGTCCTTTCAGTGGGTAGGATTAGGAAGTCTTTCTCTCTTTTTTTGTTATCCACTTTTATTTTATTTTTAATTATTTAATTGAAGTATAGTTGATTTACAGTGTTGTGCCAATCTCTGCTGCACAACATAGTGACTCGGTTATAGACATTCTTTTTTTTTTAATATCTATTATGGTTTATCACAGGATATTGAATATAGTTCCCTGTGCTATGCAGTAGGACCTTGTTGTTTATCCATCCTACATGTAATAGTTTACATCTGCTAATCCCAAACTCCCAGTCCTTCCCCCCCTACCTCATTTCCCCTTGGTAACCACAAGCTGTTCTCTATGTCTGTGAGTCTTTTCTGTTTTGTAAGTGCGTTCATTTGTGCCATATTTTCTCACAGTTTGGCTTTTGTCTTTCCTTAGGATGTTTTTTGGTCGTGTAAAATTTTTACACAGTAGATTTTATCAGTTTTTTTTAATTGAAATAATACAGTTGACATACAATATTATGTTAGTTTCAGGTGTTCAACATAGTGGCTCAACATTTCAATACAGTATGAAATGATTACCATGATAGAGCTAGTAAACATCAGTCCCCACTCAGAGTTATTACAGTGTTATTGACCATATTCCTTATGCTATATGTCATATCCCTGTGATTTAAATTTATTTTATGACTAGAAGTTTATGCCTCGTAATTCTCTGCATCTATTTCTCCCATTCTCCCACCCTTCTTCCCTCTAACAACCACCTGTTTGTTCTCTGTATTTGTGAATCTGTTTTCATTTTTGTTTGTTCCCTTGTTTTGTTTTTGAGATGTCACATATAAATGAGATCAACAGTATTGTCTTTCTCCGTCTGCTTTATTTCCTTTAGTATCATACCCTCTAGATATAGCCATGTTATCATGAATGGCAAGATTTCATGCTTTTTATGGCTGAGTAATATTCCGGTGTGTGTGTGTGTATCACATCTTCTTTATCCATTTATATTCTGGGCTTTCTATAGTGATCCGTTGATGTATATGTCTTATTGTATGTGTGTACCAGTGCCACACTGTTTTGATTACTTTGTAGTATAGTTGCAGTCACTTTATGGTATAGTTTGAGATTAGAGGTATCACTCTTTCATTGAAGATGTATTTTTTAGTCAGTTTGAAAGCCTTTTGCCTCATTCAGGTTATGATGAACTCTACCTACATGGTTTCTTTTTTTTTTTCCTCTCTTTTTAAAATTCTGATACTTTAATAATTTAAGTTTATTCTGAAGTATATATGAAGTATTAATTCAAGTTTATGTTTTCTCAAAGTTCTTTCTAGTTGTTCCCAATGTTATTTATTTGAAAAATCTGTATTTACCCCAGTGATTTGAGAATCTGTCTTTATCATATACAAAATGTCATATGTATTCGAGTCTGTTTCTTGATTTTCTATTCTATTTCACTGGTCTTTCTGTTAACATTCTAGAGGATTTATGCTATGTTTTACTATCTGGTACGGCTAATCTCCTCCATTTTTTTCTTTTTTAGGATTTTTCATAGCTGTAATTGTACATTTATTTTTCCATGTGAACACTTGAATCAACTTTATCAATCTTAGAGAAAAATGTTGGTCACATTTTATTTGGGTCATATTACTTCACTTATTCACAATGTGTATATGCATACATATACATACACACACATGCACACATCTTTATGGACATTTTTCCATTTTTACAGGCCTGCTTTCATGTTGTTCAGACATGTTTTAAAGTTTTATTTGTAAAGGTTTTGTACATTTCTTATTAGTTGATTCCTAAAATTGTGGAATTTTATACTGCTGTTGTGTTATTCATGATTTTAATATGTTTATATTCTCCCTCCTTGAATTACTTCACTTTTCAATCTGGTTATATTGTTGATTCTCTGAGATTTTACAAATATACTTTCATGTAATCTGCAAATATAGTTTTATCTCTTCTTTTCAAATTATTATGCCAAAAAATGTTTTTTCTTACCCAACTGCATTGGCCAATATCTTCAATACAGTGTTAAATAACAGTAAAGAGTTTATTTACCTGTTTTAAAGAATAGACAGACTATGAAAGCTTACAGAAATTTAATAGCTTAAGATCATAGACTAGTAAGTGACAAAGCCATGATTGAATTTCACATCTTTTTTACACCAGAAACTTATATTCTTTTTATTCTGTCTGCTGCCTCTGGATTCTTTAAAGATTTGTTTGAAGGAGACGAGGCTCCTTTGTAACTTCCAGCCACTCTCAAGTGGATTGGAGAAATCCTACGTATTTTATGTTTTGATCTAGCAATCAACACAGTGAACATGCTCAATTCTTATTCCCTCTTTTCCTTTATTTCAGTGTTTTTATTTTTGACTGCCCCAGGGCTTCACTGCTGTGTGTGGGCTTTTTCTAGTTGCAGCAAGTGAGGGCCGCTCTCTAGTTGCAGTGCATGGGCTTCTCACTGTGTTGTCTTCTCTTGTTGAGAGCGTGGGCCCTAGGGTGTGCGGGCTCTATAGTTGCTGCTCCTGGGTTCTGTAGCACAGGCTCAGTAGTTGTGGCACATGGGCTTAGTTGTCCTTGAGCATGTGGACTCTTCCCAAATCAGGAATCAAACCCATGCCTCCTGCACTGGCAAGCGATCCCCAACCACTGGACCACCAGGGAAGTCCTTGTTCCCTCTTTTTCTACAGAGTAGCGAGAACTTGTCCCAGGTTTAATCTAGATACCTTTCATTCTTTTAGAGTCTTAAGTATTTATAAAGATCAGAGGGCTGAATACATTTCCTTGTTTGCTTGACAGGAGCTCAGTTTGGAAATGGAAGACCAACAGGAGAATCTGGATACTCTTGAGCACCTAGTCACTGACCTGAGCTCCTGTGGCTTTGCTCTGGACCTGTCCCAGCACCAAGACAGGGTGCAGAACCTCAAAAAGGACTTCACAGAGCTACAGAAGACAATTAAAGAAAGGTGAGTTTTCGTGTGTGTGTCAGTGTCATGGAGCTAATTTGTTCTTGCCATTGAATGAAATGAATCCTCCTTCACCAGAAAAGGTAGCATCAAAATTCTGCTACTGAGCTGTGAGGGATTGGAAAGTGCCTCTTTCAGACAAAGCTACTCAGTCTACGTAATACTTAGTGGTCCTTCTGTTAGTAAATAGTGAGTTCCTTCTCAGTAATGGGGCTCACTTCCCCCTTTGTACAAGGGAAAGCCCAAGTCACATGGACCAAACAGAACAAATCTGAGACAGCAAGGATTGTGGTAGGATTAGAAATAATGAGAAAAAATGGAAGAGAGTTTGCAGACGTAATTAGAGGTTATTTGGCACTCACATTGCTGGTTTTGACCACATTTCAGTTCCTATTATGAGGGAGTTTCTGGATTCTTCTTAAAGGCAAACATGAGAATGTCTGATAAAGGTGGCTGATTTCAGGTTATTGGCTCACTGTTGAAAAGCTATAATTCCCTCCTCAGAAAGACTCATGTGGGTTTAAAAGTTTGATAAGACTTTGCTTGGTTTAGCTATAAATATCTCGATTTGGCAGAGGACTGCTTTAGTGACTAGAGGAAAGCAGTTGCTCAAATCACCACTGTGAGCAGCAGGTTATTTAGTGCAGGTGAAGGGGATAGGACACAGGCCAAGCAGGTTTTGTCTGTCTTTCCCTATGCGGAGGGCCTTTAGCTATTTGAAGAACCAGGATCTCTGGTCTGAAGTCTAACAGATGTGACCATTTCCAAAACTTAATTTCAAAACTGAATTCTTTCTCCTTGATTTATTTGACTCATGGGTGTGCTTAGCCTAACATCTCTGAGCCTTAGTTTTGGCATCTTCCTTGCTAAAGGAATTAGCATGTGAATTGGGCCTTAAAAGAGTCAAAGACCTAAAAAGTAGCAGAGCTGGACTTGAGATCCAAAGCCTGCATTCTTTCCATTGTATCACAGTACCTAAATAGCAGGCTCCCTTTAGTTTTTCTCACTTTCACTTTAGCCTCGAGTAAGATTGAAGACTCCTTTCCCCAGAAATGTCCAAACAAGGGCAACAGATTCTTTAGTTTGATGCTCTCCTACATTATATGTGGTTGTTTAGCCAGAGCTGCCATGGAAAAGATTATGAGATGGGAAGGCCCTGTTAGGAAACTGATGCCTAGAGTCCTAGAATGAACCTAGTTTTAGTTCAAGTTGACTTCTTTACAAAGCTTCATCTGGCAAGTAACAAAATGTCTCCCTTGACAGAGAGGAAGATGCGTCATCTTGCCAGGAGCAATTGGATGAATTCCGGAAGCTGGTTAGGACTTTCCAGAAATGGCTGAAGGAAACTGAAGGGAATATTCCACCTGCAGAGACTTTCATGAGTACTAAAGAGCTGGAAAAACAGATTGAACACCTGAAGGTAGGTGAACGAAAGGATCTCCAGGAGTCAGGCTAGACAGCAGTTTGGAAGCTTGTCTGTACTCATTTCAATCTGTGGTTGGGGGAGTGGTGTGAGAAACTCAAGTTATCCATCTGTATCAGAACAGCAGTGCCTCCATGCTCTTCATGTGAGTTCCACCTACCCCTGTCCAAGCCCTGAGCACCAAAACATCTCCTATTTAAACAGAAAAAATTCTGGGAATGATAGCTATAAAGTTTCAGCTCTTTAGGGGGATGCCTGTCATGCTGTGGTAGGTCATAGGAAAGATGGTCATCAGAGTCCAGTCTTGAGAAGCTTACACTCTCATAGAGTGTTTGAGAATTAGACAGTTATATGGGAATAAGTGACCAGAAATGTGATCAGAAAATTGAGGGAATTTCTTCATAACTAATTAAGGGAGAGTTAGAGTCGGTTGCTGGGAAGACAGCAACAAGGGGAGTACCCGCCTTTCTCTTATCTGCTGCAAAATCTCTTCTCTGCTATCTTGATTCATTGTCATCCAGTTCTAGTTGCACCTCTAACATGTTCCTTATTTGTATTGAAACCAGCCTCCACCTAACTCTCATGCATTTGTCCTTATTTTCTTAGTAAAACAGAATTTATTCTGAATAGATTAAAGAGAAGAGTTTGATTGTTTTCACGAGAGGGTGCCAGGAGCACTTGCTGTGGAGAGTTCCCTAGGACAGAGGTTCCCTGATTTCTTGGTTCATGGTGCCCTTTATGTTTCAAGACATTTTTCATGGCACCTCAAGGCCAGAAAAAACAAAACGTAAAAAACCTCACTTGCTAAGTGGTCAGAACCAAACCGCTTAACAGTAGCTGTTCACATGGTGTCCAACAGATGTCACTGTTTTTCCCTAAAAAGTTTAAAACATCCTATGACTCCGTGCACAGTTTGGGAACTGTGGCTGTTTGGAATCAAGAGTGACTAATGAAAGAACTGACAAAGTTGAACTGGCAAGGTTCAGTCTGAAGTTCGGCGCGTGAGCTTGCCAGGTGTTCACGGCTCCATGTCTCTCTCTGCTGCTGCTGTGCAGCTTAAGTCAAGAGCAGACTAAGTAGGAATTCAGTGTGGAGGAAGGGGCTGGAGGCTAGGATCGTGTCCTTTCTGGGAAAAGAGTAAAATTCTACTCTGTAGCAGGCAGTTCACAGCTTAGAGACAACACTACCAGACACTTTTGTCTTAGAGCAGATGTCATTGTTTCATAATGGCTTTCTGTGATGGTTAGAGCTCTGACTTCAAACCCGATATAAAGTTCCCTTGAAAATGCAAAGTGTGGTCTATGATTCTGTGTATTTCTCTATATCTCAGTATCTAGCGCCTCATCTTACCTTCCAACACCATTTCTTTATGTTCTTTACATGCATAGTGTTCCCTTTGTCCACCTGGCAAACTCTTTATCTTAATGCCAAGCTTTCCTCCTTTCAGGCAGTTAGATGAGTCTCCTTTCGTGTGCTTAGAGTCTAGTGGCTCTCCATGTTTCTGTAATATCACTTATCACATTATAATTGATAATCTGAGCTGTTGGTTTAGGAACTGTGTCATAATCCTATTTTGTATCCCCAGCGTTTGGCATGATGCCTGGTCTATAGTAAATGCTCAAAAAAAAATTTTTTTTTTGCTTGATAAATGAATGAATGAATGAGAAGGGCTTGAGTATTCCAGGATATCATTCTCCTTGGCTGGCTAAACCAAGTTCTTGATATGACTGAATAAATGAAAATGGTTACTTAATGCTTATCAAAACTTTGGGGAGTTTATGTAGAACAGGTGTTCATAATCATGAGGAGAAAGCCTCCACATATTACATTCTGCTATTTTGTTCTTTAAACAGGGTCTTCTAGATGACTGGACAAGTAAGGGGACTTTGGTAGAAGAAATCAATTGTAAAGGTACTTCTTTAGAAAATCTCATCATGGAGATCACAGCACCTGATTCTCAAGCCAAGACCGGTGAGTGCAGGCTCTTGAAAAAGTATTGAATAAACATCATTCTTTCCTTTGGCCTTTGATGATGACCCCTTGTTTAATGAAAGTTAGAATCAAGGTTGGATATGAGAACAAAGGAGGCAGTCTTCCCTCTCAACCTGATCTGTTTTCCCTTTTGCTTTGTAACATTGCTCCATTTTACAGAATCTCTTCCCATGATGGGAGACAGTAAAGGGACTAGTTGGCCCACATAGAACTGACAAATGAACATAGAAGGATTTAAATAGGATTTTCCATCTTGAGGAATTTCCCTCTTCTAAATATGTGAATAGCATGGCTATGCATTAACTTTAAATTGGGGTCAGCCCTGGAGGGTATAAGCATATCTTGGGAGAAGCTAGGTTTTTAGGAGTCAGTATTGGAACACCAGAAACTGGCATACTTATTGGAAGTACATACAAAGAGTGTGCCCAGATATATGAATAGTCTCTGCCTACAAATTAAGTCTTTCAGACAAATGCAACCTGAGCTCACAGTCACTTGCTGGTTGTTAACTGGGATCTCCTAGGTTTTATTACCAGACTGTGTTAATGCACTCCCATAGTCCCTTAAATAGTAAGAGCGAAGATTGCTTTCTTTTTCCACCCTGAGAATGGCTAGTTTCCTTTTGTATCCTAAAGTTTAAAGATGTCTTGGAATAACCTAGAAGTGACAGCATTTCAGGGAATTGGTGACTTTTATTTTCTAACACTTAAACTTCTAAGTTCAGTGACTTTTGTGTCATTACCCAGCAAACTTTTTCAGTAAAGGTCCGTAGAGTAAATATTTTAGGCTTGTGGGCCATATGGTCTCTGTCACACTACATGTCTTTGCCATTGTAGCACAAAAGCAGACATAAACAATATATAAATGAATGGGTGTGGCTGTGTTCCAGTAAAACCTTGTATACAGAAATAGGTGTAGGGACAGATTTGCTGGTGAACTAAAGCTTTCTGACTCCTGAACTGAATCAGTGATTGTTCAAACATTTTTACTAGCATCTATTTAAAAATTAAATCTCCTATAGAACTATACTCTAAAAAACAAATACAAATATTTTGGTGGCATAAATTTCCCTTATAAGTGAATTTATAGCATTTATATATTATGAGCTCCATCAATTCATCAATTAATATTGAGATTATTTTAGTAAATATAGAAACGTGAAGGAAAGAAAAGAATTTTTGAATGACTGCTTCATTATTTCATTATTTCTCCATTTTTTTTCTTGGTTGCATTGTATCAAAAAAATACGCTTCACACAGATAAATAGCTGCAAATGATGGCAAAAGTTTTTAAAAGTTCACTTTACTATATGAAATGTTAAGAATTCTGTTATTACACAATTCTACCTGATGAGAGCCTGCTTTGAGCCTTTTTGTCATTTTATGTAATACACATGTGCTATAGATGTTTTTCCACGCATAGAGTGGATACGTGTCAGGTTGAATATTTTAAAGACTTAGAGAAGACCTACAATTTTTCCCATTGGTGACCCTCAGAAAGCACAGAGGTGCAGGAGCTCCTTTATTCTCCCCAAAAGGCAGCATAATTGACTGTATCTACTGGGTTAATGTGGTGCTCACCATGATAGAATGTGCATGTTTTACTGCCATTTCTAAGTACTTAGAAATATATGCTGAATCTTAAAGTTAAACCAAATATTTACAGAGTCCCTAAAGCACCTTCTTAGTTATTTTGAAAACCAGTGTGAAGATCACTACCCTGAGTGCTTTTAAAGTTCTCTTCCATCTTTGAAAACCCATGAGTGTTCTAGTTCCTCACGTTTGTGAGCTCTTTTGGCTTCATAAAGTGCTTTCACATACACTGCCTCACTACCTCTCGCCTATAACCCCATGAAAGCTGACAAGACTATCTTCATATCCCAGAGAAGATATTGAAGTCTGTCCATAGATTAAGGCTCACGTACTGAGTTGGTGACAGTCTTGTCTAGACTGTCTTCTCCAAATTATTAGTCCGGTTTCTTTTTAGCCATCACCACACTGAAGTGGAATATGATCTTTGTGTTTGATCTATTTTTTAATTGAAAATACAATAATTTTAACTTAAAAATTTTGCAATCACTGTTTTCTAATATAACCTCACACATAACTTTTTTCATAGTAAAGTTAGTGCATGTCAGAGTCTTAGTCAGCTCTTGGAATGTTACATTATGTCATGACTATTCTTCACATTTCTTTATAATCTTTGTAATTGCATGATCTGGTTTTTACTTACTTGGGATACTCCTGAAACATAAGGAATCAACTTGGGGAGAATATAGGTCAAATTGTGGTAATTAGAAACAGAACCAACGACCCTAAACAGAATTTATGGGAATGTTTATGAGCCAGATTTATTGGCACTTAGAATTTCTGTCTTCTGGTGGGGGAAAGGGAGCAGAAAGTCATGAAAAAAAAAAGGGAATCTTTTGAAACAATATAAGAAGGGCTCACTTTTATGTCTTTACTAAAAGAATGCTGCTTTTTATGTCCTTAATTGTACTTAGTTTATTTTTATTATGGTGAGCAACATTGATATTAAAGTCAAACCTTTCTGGCTATATTATAAATCCTCATTCCAAAGTATGTCAGGTATCAGTCTCAAGACTTAGTCACTCTGCTAATACTTGCTTCACAAAATTAGGGCAGAGTCCAAAGAATTCAAATTGGAGATTTAAGAAGGGAATTTGGATTTCCTCTAGAAAGGATTAGTAATCTTACTGCTAAGGAGCTGAATCACCCCTAGTAACACTGTTGCCTGGCAGCTAAAATGATGTGTCTCTTTCCATGAGTATGTTGTCTTGTGCTGTGTTAACTTCCTGATACCTGAGCTTACAGTGAGTGCCAAAGAATAAACTCAGTGCCTGTATGTATTCCTAACACGTTTTGTCTTGCCCTGTTTGTCTCTCTGTCCTTCTGCTCAGGTGCCATACTGCCCTCTGTAGGAAGCTCTGTAGGCAGTGTAAACGGATACCACACCTGCAAAGGTGAGCGTGCCTCTTTGTTGGGTGTTAGGACAGTGTTCATGTTTGCATCTGTGTACGTTTCCATGTGTGTGGAAAGACTGCTGCTCGGATGGGTTTAAGGGTAAGAATCTGGGGAGAAGTAACCGTGATGCCTCTTTGTTGCTAGCTAAAGGCTAAACCGATTGGCTGCCAGTGAAATAAAGGTACAAGCAAATAAACTGGACCACTAGATAAGACCAATAGGGAAAGACTTGGAAGAAAATGTATGCAAATCTTTGAATTACAAAGAAGTTATACTAGAGCTGGTCTAATCTAGCCCTCAGACTCCCCACCAAGTTTTCTTTGTAGTTTAAAGAAGTAGAAGAATGCCTCAAATCCTTCACTCCCTTTACTTTCGCTGCTCCTGTGTTTACTTAGTATTTTATTTATACATCTGAGTATGTCATGCCAAAATCAGAAAGCAGGTTAATGAGAGATCTTTTGCTTTTTGTTTGTAAACAGGAACTTCTTTGAGATTTAGCAGGAAGATGATCTCTAGTTCACTAGAAAGTGTGGGAGAGATACTTAATCCTGATGAATAATTTAGTGAGGAACCAGTGGGGATACTTGAGAGTTATTCCCAGTCTGATTTCTCTTTCTATGATGCTAGATCTGACGGAAATCCAGTGTGACATGTCAGATGTAAACTTGAAATATGAGAAACTTGGGGGAGTGCTTCGGGAACAGCAGGAAAGCCTTCAGGCTGTCCTCAGCAGAATGCAAGAAGTTCAGAAGGAGGCAAGTTCAGTGCTGCAGTGGCTGGAATCAAAAGAGGAAGTCCTGAAAGGCTTGGATGCCTCTTCATCTCCAACCAAGACAGAGACAGTGAGAGCCCAGGCTGAGTCTAACAAGGTACTGTGTTCATAATAGCTGCATCGCGATACTAAGAGGAAAGGGCTGTTGTACTCGTGTTCCGGCCTGAGAAGGAGACATGGCCAGCCACCCAGTCGTGATGAGCAGAGTGTTTGATTTTTAAATGCTTAGATGCCTAAATTCTCCCAGAGAATTTTCTTGCCTATGAAATTATAAATTGTTACAAATCAGATTGAGAAGCAAAACCAGATGTGTTTGCAGAAGGAGAGTAAGGACAATAGCCCTCCTCAGAAGCATCAGTTCAGAGAATGGGATCTCATTTTCTATGTGATGGTGTAGCCAAAACATCCCATCAAAGCACAGTTTAGAGGGATCTAAACTGCCATGATTGCATTTCATTCTTAAGACTGACATGTAGGACTAGAGAAAATGGTGGAAGAAATAAGACCATGTAAAAAATTCGGTAAACAATTTTCTCCCCAAATTTGAATATTCCATTTGAGCCTAGCATATCATCTTTTACAACTGCATAAGCATCAATGTTATCATCACAATGATCAGGATCAATTCCTGACACTTTTAGTTTATAGGGATTAGTTATTTTCTTATTGGGTTACTAATGTATGTTACATAAAAGAAATTTAGATCTTGCCATCTATCTTTTCCTTTTAAGTAAAAATTCAAGCAGAAAGGTTAGGTATTTTAAAGTCATGAAACAAGTCTTGGAGAGAATCAGAAGTTGAGCCTGTAATTGCTGCCCCATCTTTCCGTCATTTCCCCTACTCTCCAAGCTTTGCTTCCTGTCCAGAAATCTCATGGCGTGTGTGATGTTCTTTCTTGTAGGCCTTCCTGGCTGAATTGGAACAGAATTCTCCGAAAGTCCAAAATGTAAAGGAAGCCCTGGCTGGATTACTGATAACATATCCCAACTCACAAGAAGCAGAAAACTGGAAGAAAATGCAAGAGGAGCTCAGTATGTTATCACAAGGGTGTTACAAATTCACTAAATTTCTTGTCCTCAAACAAATACAGGCTTTCAGCACATCCAGTAAACAAGAATTATTTTTTGTTAATTGTCATAAGCCAGCAAGAAGGGCAGGTAGGGTTAGAGAATGAACCTGATCGTGGAAAAAATTCAGAGACTCCACTCAAGGTGTCAGAAGTTTGGCTTCTTGGCTTGGCTTCTTCAAACTGACAATCTTTCTGTGACAAAGAGAGCATTGATGATAAAAATGAAAAACAGAGGAGCCTGATGGGCTACAGTCCATGGGGTCACAAAGAGCTGGACACGACTGATCGACTAACACACACGCACACATACTGTACTCATACTATGGAACTATAAATGATGTAGGTGAATGTGTACTGGTATGAAAAAAACAATTGGCATGAAAGATGTTCTGATCTTAATTAGTAAGTTTAAAAACAGGTTATAAAATAATATATATGTTGCATAAAGTATTTTACATGTATTGTATACATATGTACTTCTCTGAAGTTTTTTTTTTTTTTTCATTTATTTTTTATTAGTTGGAGGCTAATTACTTTACAATATTGTAGTGGTTTTTGTCATACATTGACATGAATCAGCCATGGATTTACATGTATTCCCCATCCCGATCCCCCCTCCCACCTTCCTCTCCACCCGATTTCTCTGAAGTTTTATCCCATGGGTAGTTTCATACAACCACCACCATAGTCACGAATCAAAACTGTTTGTGACTTTAGTTAAAATTAAATGCAGGTTATTTTTAACTTAAAAAAATTAAATAATGCTCCAGGGGTCATTTCCTGTAGAATATAAGGACAAGGCTAGTGGCTGATGAGGATAAAGGAATCCATTCTCTCATTTCCTCTCTACAGATTCCCGATGGGAAAGGGCCACTGAGGTGACAATGGCTCGGCAAAGGCAGCTGGAGGAATCTGCAAGTCATCTAGCCTGCTTCCAGGCTGCAGAATCCCAGCTCCGGCCCTGGCTGATGGAGAAAGAGCTGATGATGGGGGTGCTGGGCCCCCTGTCTATTGACCCCAACATGCTGAACGCACAAAAGCAGCAGGTCCAGGTGAGCAATTCCTGACAGCTTTTGAGCCAAGAATTCAGAGGCACACGAACCTGGGTTTGAATGCTGCTCTCAATAGGTAGATTCACATGACCCTGAACAAGTCATTTAACCTCTCAGAGTCTCTACTTCCTCACTTTAAATGAGATGCTTGTATGGTCTTTGTCATGGTGCCTATCAAATAGCAAATGTTCAATAACTGTATTGTTGATGTTGTTGACCGAGGCAGTAAGAAGAGCAGATGGTAGAATGGGAACTTCTGACTAAATGTTAGAAGCATATTTTACTTTCAATCCCCAATGGTAGTGATTCACATTACTTCATGCAGGGTTTTATATCTGCTGGCTTTACTTAAAGATTTTCTGCTGATCAGGCCTTAGGACCTGAGATCCTGAGGATCTGTGAGATGTAGGTTGGTTCCCTTATGTCATTTCTGATGAAGTCCTGCCTAGAACATTTCCTTGTTCTATATCTTCTCACCACCCACTAAGTCCCCTAAGACTAATTTTTGAACCCTTTCTCTTAGCCCCTGCATCCAATTAATTACCAAGTCCTATTTAGTCTACGTACAAATTTTCTAATCCAGTGGTTTTCTAATCCTTTGGTGTCCATTCCAAAAGTAAACGTTTTGCTCTCAAAATCCTTTTACCCTCTTAAAAATTATTGAGGATCCCGAAAAGCTTGTGTTCATCTACTGATATCTATTCATTTTAACCATATGAAAACACTGGGGAGTTTTTTAAATGTGCATTTACAAATTAATTTTTAAAATTATAGTGATACAACCATAACACTTAACATAGATAAACATTTTTATGAAGAAAGAATATTTTCCAAAATATAAAAAATTGAATGAGAATGGCATTATTTTATATCTTTGCAAATCTCTTTAATGTTGTCTGACTTGGGAATTCCTTAGTGGTCCAGAAGTTAGGACTCGGTGCTCTCACTGCCTAGGGCCCAGATTCAGACTCTAGTCAGGGAACTAAGATCCTGCAAGCTGTGGCCAAAAATAAATAAATAAATAACTTTTTAATGTCTCGCTTAATAGAATAGTCTCATAGATTTTCATATATGCCTCTGCATTCAGTCTTTGTGATATCCGGTGTCGTGAGAAAATAAGAATCATAAAAGGTAGACAACATCTTAGTATTCATGAAAGTAGTTTTCACCTTACTGATGCCATGCAAAGGCTTAGGGACTCACAAGGGCCCCCAGACCCCGCTTTGAGAGCCGCTGTTCTAAGCCTCTCTTCTCCACTCTACTTGCTAGTAGGCTACCTCTCGGGCCTCTTCCCGTTACAGCAGTCCCTTAAAGGGCTTCTTGGTTTAGTTTATCCTCCACACAATTATCAGGTTATCCTCTTAAATCATATATCTGGATATATTAAGATGCCTCTGTGGCTCTTGGCTGCTTATTGAACAAAATTCAAATACCTGCTCACTATGGTGCATAAGGCTTTCCACGGTCTAGTCCCAGTTTGTCTTGCCAACTCTTCCCCCACGTACCCAGGCTTCTTCCCACACCAGAATTTCTTTCCTGAACACACTGCACTCACAGATCTCAGAATCTCTGCGCCTCTGCTGCTCCCAGGCCCTCCTCTGACCAGCCTCACTCTCTGTTTCTTGGGAGAACTCATGTACTGTTTAGTGTCACCTGGAAGCCTTTCCTGATTTCCCTCTTCTATGCTTGTCATCCCCTGAGGAATTAACCCCCTTTACTTCTTGCTTTCACAATTCCACGTTCACGTTAGCATTTTAGCATTTCAATTTGTTACATTCTGTTATAGTTCATTATTTACACATCTATTAGTCCTTGAGGTATTTTGGCATATTTATTTTATTTATTAGTTGGCATATTATTTGGCATATTTATTAGTCCTTGGCATATTTATTTTTACACAGCATAAGTGCTGAGTACTTTCCATAAGTTTTCTTATTTAATCCCAACAACAGCCAAGTAAGTACTTTAGTATCCTCATATTACAGATAAGGAAGCTGGGGACTTTTCAGAAAGCTGCCTAAGTTTATACAGCTTAGTGAGTGATGGAGTTAGTATTTGAACCCAGAGGTCTGACTCCAGAACCTGTGATCTTAATTTCTTTGATGAGTGAAGCAGCAGATAGAAAAGAGTAAAAAGGAATAGTACTTGCTTTAAAGAAGCTTTTTATCTAATTGTGCTTTATTATAATGTATAGCTTTATATGTGCTATTGGAAATTTGAGAAAGGAAATAAGCAAAACAGGGCACTTAGAGTTGAAATGGCAAGCTCTGCCAGTAGCATAGTTCATTGTGGGACCCAGAGTTTCAAGCTCCTCATTCAGAGGCCTGGGTTTTGCCTGGCGGAGCTGACGAGTGCCAATCCAGTCAACAAACTTTGTTTTCCCAACCTAGGCGGACCTTAGTAACTGATGTTGAAACACTATAGGACAAATAAGGAAGAGAAATAAAATAGATACAATCAATGACCCTTTCAAAATAAGTTTTGTTTTTTTTTTATTAAACAGCTGTTAAAAGTGATACTACATTTTCCCAGTAGCCTGGTCTTTGGAGTTTTCTGCTTTATTTTCAAAAGGAGTTGGCACTACTTGGCACAATCTAAAATCGGTTTGTGTTTTGACACTGTTTTTAGATCTGTTTTCTATCTAAACATTGTGGTGTCATTTCTATCGCAGTTTATGCTGAAGGAATTTGAAGCACGCAGACAGCAGCATGAGCAGCTGAACGAGGCGGCTCAGGGCATCCTAACGGGCCCTGGAGATGCCTCTGCTTCCACCAGCCAAGTGCAGAAGGAGCTCCAGAGCATCAATGAGAAGTGGATTGAGCTGACTGACAAACTCAATTCCCGTTCCAACCAAATTGACCAAGCTGTTGTCAAGAGCACTCAGTACCAGGAGCTGCTGCAGGACTTATCAGAGAAAGTAAAGGCAGTTGGGCAGCGACTGAGCGGCCAGTCGGCCATCAGCACCCAACCCGAGGCTCTGAAGCAGCAGCTGGAGGAGACCAGTGAGATTCGATCCGACGTGGAGCAATTAGACCAGGAGATTAAGGAGGCGCAGACACTCTGCGATGAGCTGTCAGCACTCATTGGCGAGCAGTACCTCAAGGATGAGCTGAAGAAGCGTTTGGAGACTGTTGCCCTGCCCCTCCAAGGTTTAGAAGACCTTGCAGGTGAGTTGAGGTGAAGAACACACTGCTGCCGTCATTGGTGGCAAGCTAAAAGAAGGAGTGGATTCGTGGTCCCAAGAATCTAAGGTGACCTTTAAGTAGCTTTTGGACTCAGAAAGGTGTGACCCTACCCCTTTGTCCAGCTACAGTGAGGACTGCCGAGGTCATCACACATTTGATTGGTCATGAGCAATGATTGGTCATGAGCAATGACTTTACATGGCATTACATACCATGATTCTAAAGATAAGAGTGCTGGTATAAATCCAGCCAGTAGGTAGAGATTCATGCTCTTAGATGTACTTATAGGTACAGTTACACATGTACTTTCATTGATACTCATTTATATTCTATGTGTACACACATTTATACCATATATACAAAATTAGAACACGTTCTAGACTTCTTATGATGGCCTTGTACAAGAAAAATTTTGTTATTAATTTGTTGCCTCTTTATCTGGAGACATTTATGGCGTTTTACCAGCTTAGAAGTTAAAAGTTTACTTGTCTTAGTCAGATCACCTTACAGACTTGATGTGAGGATTGAATAGGATACAGTGTATGAAAGAACCTAGTTCTGCTTCTTTTAGGTAGACCCTTGGTTAGCATCAGTTTCATTTTCCTACAATTAGACCATATACTCCCAGGAAACATAAATGCCATGTTTAGACTTGATGATTTAAATTTGATTTTCTCATTTCAGCTGACCGCATGAACAGACTCCAGGCAGCTCTTGCCAGCACCCAGCAATTCCAGCAAATGTTTGATGAGCTGAGAACCTGGTTGGATGACAGACAAAGCCAGCAAGCAAAAAACCGCCCAGTCTCTGCAAAGCTGGAGCAGCTACAGTCTCAGCTACAGGAGAATGAAGAGTTTCAAAAGAGCCTTAACCAGCACAGTGGTTCCTATGAGGTGATTGTGGCAGAAGGAGAATCTCTGCTGCTTTCTGTGCCTCCTGGAGAAGAGAAGAAGACTCTACAAAACCAGCTGGTAGAGCTCAAGAGCCACTGGGAAGAGCTTAGTAAAAAAACCGCAGACAGACAGTCCAGGCTCAAGGACTGTCTGCAGAAGGCTCAGAAATACCAGTGGCATGTGGAAGACCTGGTGCCATGGATAGAAGATTGTAAGGCCAAGATGTCTGACTTGCGGGTCACTCTGGATCCCGTGCAGCTGGAGTCCCATCTCCTCAGATCAAAGGCTATGCTGAGTGAGGTGGAGAAGCGCCGCTCCCTGTTGGAAATCCTGAACAGTGCTGCTGACATTCTGATCAACTCTTCAGAAACAGATGAGGATGACATCCGGGATGAGAAGGCTGGTATCAACCAGAACATGGATTCCATCACAGAAGAGCTACAGGCCAAAACAGGGTCCCTTGAAGAAATGACTCAGAGGCTCAAGGAGTTCCAGGAAAGTTTTAAGAATATTGAAAAGAAAGTCGAAGGGGCCAAACACCAGCTTGAGATTTTTGATGCCCTTGGCTCTCAAGCCTGCAGCAACAAGAACCTGGAGAAGCTGAGAGCCCAGCAGGAGGTGCTACAGACCCTGGAGCCCCAGGTGGACTACCTGCGGGACTTCACTCGGGGCCTGGTGGAGGATGCTCCGGATGGGTCTGATGCTTCTCAGCTTCTCCATCAAGCTGAGGTTGCCCAGCAGGAGTTCCTAGAGGTGAAGCAAAGAGTGAACAGTGGCTGCATGGCCATGGAGAACAAGCTAGAGGGGATTGGCCAGTTTCACTGCCGCGTCCGAGAAATGTTTTCTCAGCTGGCAGACCTGGACGATGAGCTAGATGGCATGGGTGCTATCGGCCGAGACACTGACAGCCTCCAGTCCCAGATCGAGGATGTGCGGCTATTCCTTAACAAGATCCAAGCCCTCAAGCTGGACATTGAGGCCTCAGAAGCAGAGTGCCGACAAATGCTGGAGGAAGAGGGGACTCTGGACCTGCTGGGTCTCAAGAGGGAGTTAGAAGCCCTGAGCAAACAGTGCAGCAAACTTACCGAGAGGAGCCGAGCTCGGCAGGAGCAGCTGGAGCTGACCCTGGGCCGCGTGGAGGACTTCTATCAGAAGCTGAAAGCGCTCAATGACATGACCACAGCAGCAGAGGAGGGGGAGGCCCTCCAGTGGGTCGTGGGGACCGAGGTGGATGTCATCAACCAGCAATTAGCAGATTTTAAAGTAAGCCTTGCCCTTGTTTTTTGACCTTTTCCTGTCTGATATGTGTATTTCTTTTCTTGTAACTTGGAGACCGATTGAGTGTGCATCTTCACTCTGTCTCTGGTTTCATTAGTCTCACTTCCATCACACCAGAGCACACAGTTTGCAGACTAAGTAGTCTCTTGCACTTCTGAGCAACTGGGTTGAATGTTCCTCGGTTCTAATTTATTTTGATGTTTATAGCCAATTAAGGATATAGACAGACTGAACCTCATTTCTTATTCTAAGAATCTTCTCTTGTGATTTCTTGAGAGTTCATGCTAACTAACTTTTGTAACAGCAGTGCATGTTGGTTGAGAACTCTGCTTTTCAGATGGAGGTATAGGAGCCCATAAGATAAACACTGACTCTTCCTCCTAAAGTATGGGGTATTTTTCACAGATTTGGAGGGAAAATTGCTGACACATGATTGATGTGTTTTGAAAGAAAATGAAAAATCCTCATGAACTATTAAGACAAAACATAACACTTCAAAGAAATTTTCCACTTATAGCAAGTAGTGCTTAAGACTATGCCCCAGACTCCTCAAGAGCACTAGTTCTCTGCATGTAGGAGAGTTTGAGAAGCACAGCCTTAATTGCAAAAATATTTTGATTCTTTGCCTGAGTCAGAATTTCCAGTCCTGAGCTTTTGTGAGTCTCTATTAAAACACCAGGGGAAGAAGAGAGGAGTTAACTCAAAAGTGTGAATTTGCCAGGTCTGGGCTCGGAACTTGGGCCTGTCTGCCGGGTGTCGGCTCTCACTGCCTGAGCCTTTCACCCCCAGAGTCACCTGAAAGGGCCTCTCTTCCCTGCCGGGGGCCTGTGCGCCTGCCTTTCCTTCTTGGCCCCTGGAGTGGTTTGGAAAGGGGACTTCCAGCACTTGACTGCCGTTACCAGTGGCGATCGTTCCTACTTACACAGAAATGCTTTGCCATCAGATTTGTTCTCTTAGAGTCCCTGTGTCAGGATTCTTCCTATTAAAAATATGGATGGAAGGTGGTATGACACCAGGTCAGAGCGACATGGTCCCGAAAAAGATCACAAATTTGTAGACGAGGTCCAGGTGGCGGTTTCAGAAGGACCCCTCTAGGCTAGGGGATGTTCAGCACTAAGGCGAGGCATTGACTGAAGACCCCCTTCCAGTGCAGTGTAGAGCAGCCCTAGTCATCATAGCTGGGACTCTCGAGGCCCTGGGTAAGGAAAGGGTGGGTAGAGAAAGTTCAAACCCACAAGCCCAGGTGTTGTCCTCAGGGAAAGGCCCCTACCTGATCAGTGGCCGGGTGGCCTTTCCTGCTGTGTCACACGGGCTTCTCTTCCCTCTTCCACTGTAAGCCCCTCGAAAGCAGAGCCTCTGTTATAGGCATGCTTCATGTGTCCGGGTTACTTGAATCCAGGTTAATTAGAATCAACTGTCTAATCAACTAAATGAGGATTTTTTTAGAAAACTGAAGTTTATCCTTTGAGGCACCAAGCTATAGTTTTATCAAACTAAGATTCTGGTTTATATGGAATTACTTTAACCCTTATTTGCCTAATTTCCTAAACATTACATTATATTGCAAGTTTTTCTTTACAAGTACAGGTTAACATTACTGAACAGATTGTGCCTGTTCTCCATTGTGGTAATATCCTCAGGGACATGAGACACACTGGGGCTACTTTTTACTAAATGTCTTTAAATTACCTTGCAGTTTGAGCTCTGTTTTGAAGGGCCTCTGATAGCTGTACTGGTTGAGTTCAAGTGTGTGTGTGTGTGTGTGTGTGTGTGTGTGTGTGTGTGTGTGTATTTGGGGGGATGTAGTTTCTATTTTTTCCCCCATTACTCTGATACCAGGTATTATTTCTTACTGCTATTACTTTTCACTGTCTTGAGCAGTCTGTCTCTTCCTTCAGATCTTCAGTGAGCCGAAAACAAAGTGAACAAGCATGTTAAAATTGCATTAAATATGACCTAGGATATTAAGAAGAATCCACAGGCAAGCATATACTGTGTTTGGATTTGAGGACAAGTAATTGTTTCCTGTTCATTTAATCCTTGGTTTCTAGAGACATTCTGAATTGTGATGCTGCTGTAAGCTTTTAAGAAATTCCTGGACATCCTCGTATTTTATTTGTATCCTAGCATATAGCCCAGCAGCACTCGGGGTTCAGTAGCTGCTGAGTTGCTTGGTATAGCAGGCATGTTGCACTGATTTCTGAGAAGCCTCCCACCACCAGTACTGTGGCTATGAAGGCTGGGGCCAGCGTGTTTATCTGCAGGGAGCTGGTGTTGACAAGGCAAGACCAGAAGATGAGTGTGAGAAGGAGGGTGGTGAAGCTGTGTGCCCTATGTGTACCCTGCTCAAGCTGGGGATGCAGATCAGCAGTCTGGTTCCCCAGATTCACCTTACCAAGTCAAGGGCTTAGGGAAGAGTTTTTGCCTCCCCCCGGCAAAGGTCTTGAGGCAGGAGGGGAGGAAGACAGTCATGGCTGAGCTCATGGGAAGTGAAAACAATGAGAAAGGAAAAGCTGTGTGTCTCAGTTCACAGCCCCCAAGAGGCTGAGCCAAGGGAAGTTCTTTCTGGACCCGTTCTGAGGACTGAGTCAGTTTCATGATCTGAGTTCTTGGGTTAATGTGTTCTGTATTCCAACGATAGACTCATCTTCCCTCACACCAGCAGCAGACTAGATGCATGCAGTGTGATTCGGCTTTCAGATTCAAACTGTTTTTTAATAAGGAACAGCAAAGATGAAGATAAGTATTAAAAAACAGCATTCGTTTTAAGTTTTTACCTCTTTTTTTTTTTTTTTTTTTTTTTTACAATGGGATCATGCTCTCGGCACAGAATCTGCTGAAGAGAAGAGTATGAATCTGTGAGACAGAAGTGCGGGCTGTGCTTTGACCCCGCTGATGCCACTGGGGATGGTCAGAATAGACAGATGAGTCAGGTCTGTGGAGGACCCAGGCTTCCTTGGGACTGTGCAGCAGTGCTGATACATGCTTGGAAGGGCAGTGGGCCTCTGGGGAAAATGATTTCCTTCTTAAATGAATGTGAAAAACTGGAAGTCATTATTCCTAGGAAAGACTTTTCCCTCAGTTGCTTCTGAATAATTGATAGAATCTGGTCAGCCAGTGAGGACCCATGAGATGGGAAGGGAGGAGAGTCCTTTCCCACTAAACAGGCAAAGACCTCAGGCCTCTTGGGTTAGACACTTTACTGCATTCTGCTCTGTCTTCCACAAAAAAAGGAAGAAAGCCATGAAAGAAAATATTGAGCATGTTTGGAGATACTGGAAGGAAAAGACTTTGGTTAATCTCTTCAGGAAATTCCATTTTCCTGAACAAGAGAGTCTCTTGATTATTGAGAAAAAGGAATTGTATTAAATATATACATAACTAGAGTCCAACAAGAAAGGAAGGACCTTTATTTCATTGAAACTTAAGCCAAAGAATTCCCTCAGGGTGACCTTTCTAGGAAGGAAAGAAAAAGACTCTAGATGTAGAGAAGAAATCTATGAAGTCTGATGATAACAAAGACGTTTTGAAATTGCCTGTGTAGGTTTTGTAATCAAGAACTGAGATCATTCTGAGTCTTACATCAGCCCCTCCCTTGCATCCGCCTCAGGACCCACGCCTCTCAGTCAGGATGTGTGGAGGTTTGGGTCTGGGAGGCTGTTGGTGAGGCCACAGGCTTCCTTAGGACCGTTCTCAGTCTTGATTGAGGCTGAGCAGGGCCCAGGGTCAGGGACTACATGCTCTTGCAGCCTGTGTCTGGAGACCTTTATCCTACTGTGAAGCCAGAACAAGAAAGCCCCATAAACTTGTCCATTTGATTCTTTTTTTTTTGGCCTCATGGAAAGCAAGCATAAGCTTCCCTGTGAGCACATGTAAAAACTCTTGGAGGACAGGGCCTGCCATGGAGCTGAGAGACTGCCAATTTGGACAATGATGGATGTTCACTCCTTCTTTTCAAATAATTACAAAGACAGTATCAGCTCCTCTGCGTGTTTGCCAGTTACACTTACCAGAGAAGAAAGCAAGTGAGGTTAGCATTTTCTGCCTGCCCTTGGAGAGAAAGGAAATCACACTTGGTATGACCCATCTGTCTCTGGAGATTTAGGTATCGCCAGCTTTGCAGCAGCCAAGATAAGATGAATAGACAACCCCCCCACCCCACCCTACGTTGTGCTGACCCTTGTCCTGTGTTGGTTTTTTCTTTCTTCCTTAAACCGGGCTACCCTGGTGGTGCTAGTGGTAAAAAAATTCGCCTGCCAGTGCAGGAGATACAAGAGACGGGGTTCGATCCCTGGGTCAGGAAGATACCCTGGAGGAGGAAATGGCATCCCACTTCAGTATTCTTGCTTGGGAAATCCCATGGATCGAGGAGCCTGGAGGGTTGCAAAGAGTCGGACAGGACGGAAGCGACTTAGCACAGCACGGCACTAAACAACAACTCCAAGAGAAACTGGGGTCCAAGGAAGTAGAAAGAATGCCCTTCAGTAAGGTTTCTCAGCCTGAGCACTCAGGATGTCTGGAGTGGGGCAGTTCTTGGTTGTAGGCAGCTATCCTGTGCGTTATGGGACATTCAGCAGCATCCCTGACCTCCGTCTACCCGCTCGATGCCAGTGACGGCCTTTCCCCAGCCTGACAGCCAGAAACACCACTGCACATTGCCAGATGCCCCTGGAAGGAAAAACCCCCCTCAGTTGAGAACCACTGCCTGAGGCAGGAGAAAATTGCCGCCTCTCTGTGCATAATTTAGAACTCAGTTGGAAGAGGTGCTCGTTGATTAAGGTAGATCTTAATGTAGCAAGCCACCTTCTGGTAATCTGATTATAACTGAAGCGGCAATACCCGTCTGTAAATCAGCTTTTCCTTAGGCCAGGCCCTGGATTCTTTATTTTTCCTGGTGCTAATCGCTGTCTGGTTTAAAATCTCCTCGTCACTTTTCCTGGCATCTGCGGTTGGTTTCTTTTGCGTAGAGTTGTTGATGCAGGTGT